AAAATGATCCCATTTACAGATGAGAAAAACGAGCGTTCGTGAGACCTGAGTCTGTCAGCCGTGGCGAGAGGGTAGACGTCTGTCTGCTGAAGCAGCCACTCCACACGCAGCTGTTTATTTCAGTGATGGGAAGTTTACAATTGTGTTTTAGTACCCCGGTGCCGTGTCAAATGCTCGGGAGCGCAGATGAGCAGCACAGAACGGACGTTCTGTCCTCACAGAACTGCTGGGTGGAGCAAAACAAGCGGAGCCGTCTGAGTCCTGACTTGGTTCTGGATGTGAACGGGTTTCTCGTACTGGGGGCCTCAGTTTCTGTAGAGCGGGGAAGTGGCTGAGCGGCCCCTGCCGCAGAGGTGTGCGTGAGCATTCCCCCGGCCCAGGCCCAGGCCCAGCGGGCCGGCCGTGGAGGATGCTGTCCCGCCTGGAAGAGTCGGGGATCTGCTGAGCTGCGTGTGTAAACAGACTTAGGGTTGGAAGTCAGGGGGCCCTGGGAGAGGCATCGTCTTAGGAGAGGGTATCGGGAAAGCTTCCGAGGTGGCCTTGGCGCCGAGCTCTCCAAGGGCGTGGAGAGGACAAGGTGGTGGAAGGGGAGGAAGGGCTGGGGTGGGGCACCTCAAGCAGCTGTCCTTTGTGACACTACCTCTGTGACCTCCCTGTCCCCTGGCTTGCTGAATGAGGCACATGGCTGCATTCTAGCTTTGCAGTGAATGGGCAAGGTGCTCCCAGTGGAGCTGGATGGCCGCGGGGGTATGGCAGCTGGGCACTCGCAGCTCTCACAAGAGGGCATTGTCGGTTCGAACCAGGCAGAACCCTCATTTTTCACAGATCTCTCTCCCAAGGTCCAAAGTCCCTAAAACCAGGTTTGTAGCCGGATGAGAGTACACTGGGTGATTGCCAGGCCTCTCCCAGGGGCCCTGCCTCTTGGCAAGCCCAGTCACCAGCCTGCGCAGGGGTGGGGGGCAGGTGTTGGAAGGTGGTCTCTGGTTAGTCTGCCAGGCAGGTAGGTGGGGGACCCAAGTTCCCTGCAGAGCAGCTGCATCCTGTGGCAGACAAAACTAGCCACTCGGACCTGTGTCCCCTTCCCCGGACTGCGCTTGCCGTGCTGCCCTTGGGTGCTGTGCTGAGCAGCAGACAGCCCTCCGAGGCGGGGTTCCAGTGTTGCTTCTCTAATTGGAGGCAACTTACGTAACATCTTGCAGCCTTATCTCTCCCCTGTGATGCTTTGCCTCTGGTCTCCAAAAAGGTTACTTAATGATCTTGGCCTGGGGTAACTAGTTTCTGCTCTTAATTTCTCCCTCAGTCGACCCAAATGGTGATCTGGGTTTTGTTTTTATTTTCCTGTTTCCAAGTCACTGGGAGTGGAGCTGCGAGCTGCACCTTTGTCCGTCCCCCTCCCCCCCCCCCCCCCCCCCCCGGCCCCATCAGCTGCCCTGGCTTTGTCCCCAGTCCTTACCTCACAGCCCCTTGCAGGCCCTGTGGGTCCATCTGGCCTCCCCAGGGCTGTTGCCTGGAATGCTGCTCCTCTGGGTTTGCCCTGGTGACTCCTAGCTTCCGGCACATTTTGAGAGCATCTTTGATGGCCACGCCTAGCACCTGCCTCTTTCCTGGTTTCGGTGCGTGCCTTGTTCCTTACCCTTCCATCCCTTTACTTTTTTTGTTTTCCCACGTTGGGCTTTAAACTCCTTGAGGTCGGGTATCATCTGCAGAACGACCCAGGCCCCTGGGCCCAGGCACACAAGTGTGCGTGCCAGAATTAACCGACAGAACAGCGTGCAGCTCTGCCAACCCTCAGCTCCCGTTAGCAGGGTGTGTGTGGGGCAGCAGAGGCCCTGAGCCCAGCCCCCTAGAGGAAGGGGGGGAGGGCGACAGGTCCCGAACTCGCCACCCACATTCTGTGCCCAGAGAATGGTTTCCAGGGAACAAAGGGCGGGGCTGGGAAAACAAGGGCTGAGCTCGCAGAGGCTGTGGCGCGCCGAGGGAGGCGGCAAGGGCTCATGCAAGGGCCCTGGCGCGGCCTGCTTCTGTGCGCGGGGGAGCTGGGGCCCGCACGCCTGGGCTCCACCGCCCCTGGTACCGCCCAGAGGGCGGCTCGTGGGGCGGTTGGCCACGGGAGCTGCAGCTGCCTGAGCCCCGCAATCAGTTCCGCCGCCCCTTGGCCCTGGGCGAGGCCACTCCCAGCGGCAGCTCAGGAGGCTGCCACCGCCGCGGAGGCTGCCATGGCTTGGGCCCGCCTCCGCCAGGCCGGAGGGGGACTGCGCAGGCGGCGGCGAACGGCAGGCCGGCAGCCCCGCCCCTGCGCGCCCTCTCGATCAGGCCTTCGAGAAGCTTGCCCAGGGCCCCCACACCCCGAGCGCCGCAGGTTCCCGCCCCCTCGGCCCCGTGCACGCTCCGACCCTGGATGATGCCCCGCTGCGGGACGGTGAGCCCGTGACGGCCGCGAGGACGCGGACACTGGGGCGGAGGGGAGAGGAAGACGGGGCCTCAGGCTACGCCCCAGCCCCAGCCTACCCTACTCCGCCTCTTTCTGCAGGTTCCCTCTGGGGAGGAGTCTCCAAGGCATCTCACCACATGGGCCGGCCTCAAAAATGACAAACTCCACGTGGGAGAGGGCTGTCAAGGTCAGAGGGTTGGTGGGGGACTTAGGGCCCGGGAGGTGGCTCAGCCTGCCTCCCTGTACTGTGTTCAGTACAGGATGCAGCTACCTCCACGAGGCCAAACTTGGTGGGCTGGTCTGTGAGCAGGTGCACGTTCCCCCTTCCGCTGCCTCTGCTCTGGTTCCCTGAACTCCCCTCCCATGGGAAGACTTTGGAGGCTGCCGGTGACCTCTCCAGGAAGTCGAATCCAATAGCCCCTTTCAGGCCCTCCACACTTCGCTGCCCACCCTGGCCCCTTGGCCATCTGCCGTCCGCGTGCACACTCCTGCTGTTTGTCCCAGGTTGCTGCTTTCCAGTTGCCTTTTTTTTTTTAGCTTTTTTAATTTTTATTTTATTTTACTTTATTTTTTGACAGGCAGAGTGGACAGTGTGTGAGAGAGGAAGGTCTTCCTTTTTCTGTTGGTTCACACACACACACACACACACACACACACACACCCAGTGGCCGCTAAGGCCACTGAAGTCAGGAGCCAGGTGCTTCTCCTGGTCTCCCATGCGGGTGCAGGGCCCAAGGACTAGGTCCATCCTCCACTGCCTTCCCGGGCCACAGCAGAGAGCTGGACTGGAAGAGGAGAAACCAGGACAGAATCCGGCACCCCGACCGGGACTAGAACCTGGTGTGCTGGCGCCGCAGGTGGAGGATTAGCCTAGTGAGCCGCGGCGCTGGCCTTTTTTTTAGCTTTTAAAATTTATTTGAAAGACAGTGACAGAGAGAAAGAGATCTTCCATGTGCTAACTCACTCCCCAGATGTGTACAATAGCCAGTGCTGGGCCAGACCGAAACAAGGAGCTGGGAGCTGCCTCCCGGGGCTGGGAACCCGGTACTCGACCTGCACCTCCGTGCCCTTTGCCTCCCAGTCTGGCAGATCCAGACCCCTCCTTCTCCACCCAGAGAAGCTGTTGTTTCACTCCATCCCACACCAAGTGTGATGCCCCTGTCCAAGTCCACTGTTCCCAGCCCCTGGCCTTGCCCATGGCTGAGGTGCTCAAGCCAGACTGATCTTTTCTCTGTTCACGCACACATCTCCTCCCCGTGGTCTCCGTTTCCAACGTGGATCTCAACTCTCACACCGTCGCCCATCCCTGCTGTAACCAGCCACTTGCTTTTTTTTTTTTTTTTTTTAAAGAACTATCAGCCGGTGCTGCGGCTCAATAGGCTAATCCTCCGCCTTGCAGCGCCGGCACACCGGGTTCTAGTCCCGGTCAGGGCGCTGGATCCTGTCCCAGTTGCCCCTCTTCCAGGCCAGCTCTGCAGACTGAATGGGGACCCCAAGGAGCCCAACAACAGGGGGGGACTGCTGTGGCGCAGCAGGCTAAGGCAGTGGAGGATGGCCCAAGTGCTTGGGCCCTGCACCCCATGGGAGACCAGGAGAAGCACCTGGCTCCTGCCTTCGGATCAGCGTGGTGCGCTGGCCACAGCACGCCGGCCGCGGCGGCCACTGGAGGGTAAACCAACGGTGAAGGAAGACCTTTCTCTCTGTCTCTCTCTCTCTCTCTCACTGTCCACTCTGTCAAAAAAAAAAAAAGATTAAAAAAAGAACTATCAGAACTTGAGCTGGCTGTCCGTTACAGGGTGCTGATGTCACAAGTGGCAGCGTACCCCACTGGGTCCTAACACTAACCCCTACCCACCCTCCTTCCTTGGTGCTGTCATTGCTCTCCCGTGTAAACCACGCAGCTTTCTAACTGGGCTGCCTCCCCTTGGTCCCTCTGTCTGTACTTGGATGGCCTGCAGCCCCCTCTTCATGCTGCTCTCAGTACAAGCTGAAGTGCGTTCCCGGCCAGCAGAGCCCCCTGCAGCCCAGCCACCATCTCCTCCACCTCCCAGGGTCTGCCCGCCCTGGCGTCCTTTCAGCTCCCGCTGAGCTCTCTGCAGCAGTGAGGCCTGAGCAAGTACTGTCAGCCCGGCCCAGGGCTCCCTGCCAGCCTCCCTGACCGTGTACAAGGGGTCTTTCCAAGGCTCATGGGAAATGCGCATTATGAAAAACTATGTGTGGATTTCAAGGAATCTTGCACCAAAATAAACTTGCCTTTTAATTCCATTTTCCATGAACTTTTTGCAGTCCACTTGTATTCCATTTTGTTAGGATCTATTTTATTTGAAAGGCAGAGTGAGAAACAGAGAAGGCCCCCACCTCGTTTGGAATGCCAGCGTTTTGGTGGCTTAGCCTGCTGCGCCACAGCGCCAGACCGCAGTCCCCCCCTGTTGTTGGGCTCCTTGGGGTCCCCATTCAGTCTGCAGTTTCTGGAGCCAGGCGGCTCTTCCACGTGACCACTGTGTGAGCCCTTCAATCTGCGTTTGTTTCATAGCTGCTAACATGGGGGTAACTCTAACAGAAGTGCACGATGCTGTCAGCAGTGCCCTGAAAGCACTGCCCATCACGTGATGGATGGGCAGCACAGGTGGACTGTCACCGCTACATGTGTTTGTGAGCGTCTCTCCCTGTTGATGAGCCATGTCTGTCTCCTGCTGCACCCTAAGAGTGTCTCGAAGGCAGAGACCACACGCCCGGCCCGCCATTGCCCCGCCATTGTCTGGCGCTCAGGCAGAGTTTCCTGAGCAAGTCGTCCCTGCTCCCCTTACAGCAGAAGAAGGTCTTTATGATCCAGGGCCACTACCCGGTGATCCGCTGTCTCTTGCGCCAGAGGGGCTGGGTGGAGAAGAGGATGGTCCATCACATGAACGCCAGCACGCTGCTGCCACCCCACAAGGATCTGGATAGCTCAGGGGTGGGGGACAGTGACACCCCTGAAGATGGTGAGTGGAGCCCCCTCCCCTTCCGCAGGCTGCCCCCACCCCCGTGGGTCCCTTTCCTTTGGGTCCCCCGGTCCTGGGGCTGAGGCCTGATGGGTCTTGAGGCAAGGACAGGGGCCTCATCAGCTCTGCACCCACAGAAGATGACGATGCAGATGAAGAGTTCCAACCACCACCGCCCTTCAGCTTCGAAAGTTTTCTGGAATGTGCTGACGCAGAGGGGACACACGCCTTAATGGTGAGGGCTGGGGGCCGGGATGGAGCAGGGGACTGGCAGGGGCTGTCTCATGAGGGCAAGAGCCCCGGGGTCCAGCAGAGTCTTCTCGGGAAAGTCCTTTCCTTCTCCGGGCCTCAGTTTCCCATTGGTCAGGAGAACCGATTTCTTGTGGAAAGACTGGGCAGGCCTGCAGAGTGGTGAGGGACTCTGTGGGGGGCGTCAGAAGCTGGCGTGGTCACCACACGTGCTAATGCCTCTTTCCATAGCTTGGGGTGGACACGGGCACAGTAGTGAAGTCATTTGGGACACCCGCATCCCATCGGAGCTGACTTGAGTCCTGCCCTCGCAGTTCCAGATGCTTGGTAGTGTACACCCTGGAAGCAGCAGGAAATGACTCGGATGTTTGGGTCCTTGCCACCCATGTGGGAGGCCTGGACTGAGTTCCTGGCTTCTGGGCATTTGTGGAGTGAACTAGCTGGTGGGAGCGCTGTCTCTCCTCCTTTGCCACCCGAAGGAATAAAAAAACCCAGAACTGCTCTACTGTTCCTCTCCATCATCGGCCCTTGGCGTGTGCAGGCTGCAGTGAGTGGCTCAGGCAGTTCTGCAGGAGGCTACTGTGGCCTTCTGGGTTATGTGGATGTCATGGGGACAGGGGTGCTTATCCTGGTGCCACTGCTTGGGACGCCGAGCTACGTGAAACTGCCCCTTCGCTGTGTCAGGGATTTCGCTGTGTGCTGCGAATTGTGTACGCTCAACCTGTGAGCCTTCGGGCAAGTCTCTCACTGCTCCTTCGTCTGTGAAATGAGTACTGAGCCCCCTGCCAGGGTCGTGGTGAGGAGCAGTTGAGATGACCTGGGAAGTGTGGGGTCCGTGCGAGAGTGCCACCCGCTGTGTGCCCGTCAGCCTGGACTCACCTTCCTGCACTGGGCAGGCCACTGATGGCCAGGGGCCGGAACAAGGTGTGGCGTTCAGTTGTGCAGCCTGGTCAGTGCTTAGGGGCACCAAGAGGGGCCGACCACTGGCCTGTTTTCTGCTCACCAAGCGTGTGACCTCGAGGGGTGTGTTTCCTTGCACGCGGGCGGGGGTGTGGCAGCACCGTCTCCCCTCTGTTCTCCGCGCTGCTGTGTGTGCAGGATGGGAAGAGGCCACCCTAGCCCGAGCCACCCACACCAGCGTCCCCATCTCCTCCCGGTTTAGTCTCGCATGGTTCGCAACGAGACGCCCTACTTCATCTGGACGACTCGGCGGGACGTGCTGGACTATCGCTTCCTCTCCAAGGATCAGATCATAAACCACTATGCCCGAGCTGGCGCCTTCACCACCAAGGTGGGCTCCCTGGGAGGGGCGCGGGGCGGCCTCTGACCCCGGCCCTTGGGCTGACAGCCGTGCTCCCTGCTGCTCGTCAGCAGGAGAGTTCTCCAGAGAGGGCGAGGTGCACAATTCAGGATCCAGAGGCAGACCGGCCTCAGTTCAGATCCAGCCCCTGCCGGGGGCCTTGCACGTGTAGCCATAGTGAGGAGATGGGCTCCAGGATTCTCGTGGGGTCTGGAGCCAGAGCAAACACCAGGTCTGGAGTCTGTGAGCAAGAGGGTCCGCACCTCCTAAGCAGAGCACGTCAGGCTGGTGGATCTGTTCCGCCTCCCCGGGCCGTTTAGCAATGATGTGGCCTCTCTCAGCCCCACTTTATCTTTAAATAAGGGTGCCAGTAAGGCCCGCCTTCTAGGGTTGTGACCTGGAGCCGAAGAGCTTTGTAAGTGGGGTCTGTCGTTGTAGGATTCCTAAAGGTGGCCAGTGGTTGGGGATGTGAGAGTGGACGGGACTGGTGAGGAACGTCGTGTGCACAGGGGGTGACTCAGGCATCTGGAGAGAGCTGTGAGCACGTTAAGGCAGGTGACAGCTCTGAGAGTGTCCCGGTGGGGCCTCTCTGCACGTCCTGGACACGTGTCAGTCCCGCGGAGCTCTCCGGGCAAGTCCCGCCCTGCCCCTCAGCAGCTGACTCCATAGGTGGGCCTGTGTCTCAATCTGCGCAACTTGCCCTGGTTTGATGAGGCCGATGCTGACTCCTTCTTCCCACGCTGCTACCGTCTGGGGGCCGAGGATGACAAGAAAGCCTTCATAGGTAAGGAGACTCCCATGGCTGTGCCTGCACCCTCAGGCCCAGGGCAGCGCTAAAGCTCGGCTCGTGTTGGAGAGCCGGGGCCTCTCCCTGCCCTCGTCTGCCTGGCAGATCTCCTGCGTCCCTTTTCTCATCTCCCCACCGGGCCCTCCCGCAGTGAGTCTTCCAGCATCACCAACCCTCTCCTAAACAAGCCGGAGTAGCTTAGTTGTATTCTGGAGCAGGTCCTAAAAGTCATTCTATTGATTGACCTGTGTCACTTCCATTGGCTGAATCAGGGTCTAAAAAAAGTTGTCAGTTTGGGTTTCTAAGGGAGAATACGTTCCAACTCCAGGCTATGTTGTATTCCCATCAGAATTTAGATCCAGGGTTTAAATTGTGTTCCCAGTCTAAACTAGGTTCTGGTCCTCGGTCCAGAGGAATTATCAAAAGTGGATCCGGAACGGGAGAACTCGGGTTCTGAAGGCAGTTGTGGGCCAGGTCAGCTCAGGTCCTTGGCCTGGTTCTTCAGCCGAAACAGGATCCAGGATCCAAACCAGGTTGTAGAGTCAGAAAGGTGGGGTCAGGTTCCAGGTCCAAAGTGGGGCAAGTGATGGTGAGGTTCCGGAACCAGAACAGGCATCAAGCCTGCGGGCTGAGCAGGGTATTCCCTGCCCCGGGAGCAGAGGACTTCTGGCTGACAGCTGCCCGCAACGTTCTCAAGCTGGTGGTGAAGTCCGAATGGAAGTCATACTCTGCCCAGGCCGAAGAGGAAGAGGCCGCAGGTGGGTACTGCGTTGCCTCCACTCCCCTGCCCACTTACCCTGCCATTCGTCTCCACATCTGTGCCCATCTGACACAGCTTCCCACCACCTTGTCCATCTATCCACTTGTCCATCCATTTCCCTACCCATCCATCCATCCATCCCCTGTCCCGTCCACTGCCTGCTGATGTCCTCATCACCTCCCCGCCATCAGAGATTCCTCTTCCATCTGCCTGCTCCCCACTCTCCTAGCTCTCCTTCCACCATCTGCCTACCCCGTGTCAGCCTCTTCCTACCCACCACCTGTCATCCTCCAGTCCGTCTCCTCGTGCATTCTCAGTCCCAGTCACCACACACCCGTCCTCCTAGCCTCATTCAGCCCTCCAGAGGCGTGGCACCTTACAGGGGTGAGGCTGAGAGGGAGCCTGGGGGCAGCAGTGAAGCCAGGAGGTTTACAGTGGCTGGAGGACCCCTCGTGCTGAGTATAAGGAATGGCAGCTAGGAGTGGAAGGGTTTCCCGAGGACCCACCGTCACTGCTGGCCCCGCGTCACGTGCCCTTTCTCTCCTGGACTTCGCATCCACACGTGGGCGCCTCCATTCTGGAATCCGGGGTCTGTCGGCGCTGAAGCAGCTCTCTGGGGAGGGGGCGACCCTTGCTTTCCAGGGGGAGGCTTCCCGGCTGCTGTCTCCTGGGTGTGTCGGGTGCAAGGAAGATTGTATGTACCGTGATGGGGCCCAGGGCCCTCATGCGGCCAGACGCCCCTGGCTGCAGCTTCCGTGGTGGTGGGCTCAGGAATAGGTCAGGCTGCGGGGCTTGGCGAGCCTCAGGATTTTCAGGGCACTGCCAGTGTTTGGGAGTGCGTCGGCCTCACACGTGGTAGCTTTGCACACGTGGTTGGTAACTGCTGCCGAGAACGAGGGTTGTCGGAGTCTATTAGGACATTGCAAGTGGCCCAGATTTCTGTTACACGTTAGACCCTCGGAAGTCACGTCAGACCTGAGGGAGGGGTTCGTGCAAACCTGGATTCACCTGGGCTGGGGTTCCCAGGTGTGTTTTAGACAGGGCCAAGTGTAGGAGAGGTCCAGAGGTGGAGAGGCCGCAGGTGTGTGCTGGGGATCCACGGGCCATGGAGGCCCTGGGGTGTTTAACAGGGATCCTCCAGTGAGCCATGGGGCCTGGGACAGACACACCCCGGAGCAAGTGAGGAGGTCTCCGGTGAGTGACAAGTCCCAGGGCAGCAGGAGGCTGTTTGCAGGGGGACGCCTCAGGTAGGTGATAGGCCTAGGGGCAGTGGGCACTGTGGCTGTGCCAGGTTGCCTGCTGCGATGCAGAATAGTGACGCAGCTCCCCATCTCTGCAGGAAACAAACAACCTAAGAAACAGAAGAAGCCGCTCGTTGTGTCCCCCGAGTTCGTGGACGAGGCCCTGAGTGCGTGCGAAGAGCACCTTAGCAGCCTGGCCCACCTGGACATCGACAAGGACGTGGGGGCCCCGCTGTGCTGGAGCCCCGAGGGCTGGTCCTTCTTCCTGCAGCGCTACTACCAGGTGGTCCAGTGAGTACCTGCAGTCGGGTGTGGGCGGGCCTGGCGTCTGGTGAGGGCCCTCCGCCTCCTAAAGCCCCCAGCTCTGTCAGCCACTCTGCTGCTCAGGAACCCTGAAGGCCCCCGCTGCTGCCATGATGGGGCGCAAGCCCCTCTCCCCGGTTTTGGCATAGTGCAGTTCCAAGGGTCGTGGGCTGTGTGGCCAGGCGCTCCTGAGTTCAGGTCCTGGCTTTGCAGCTTCCGAACTCTGCAGCTCAGGAACGTGAGCTCCGCTTTTCTCAAATGGAAAATGTAGTTTTCAAATAATCTCTGCCTCAAGGGTGGATCAACAGGAAAACCTGCAGTGTGTTTTCAGCATGGGCTCATGGAATCCACTCCCAGAACAGGAACTGAACTCATCGGTCTAATCCTGGAGGCTGTTTCCCATAGAAGGGCGCACAGGCTGCAGATTCTATGGGAAGTGCAAAACTTGGTGAGAAAAGGGCCTTTGTGCTCAGTCAAGTTTGGAAGAAATCAGGTTACACGAAGTCAAACGACTTCCTTGACACAGAAACTTCTAGAACTATTAGTGTACACACTCGAGAGATGGGTATGCTGTGTGCCCTGTACATACAAAGATACTTCAAAAACTTCACGGAAAAAATGGCATTAAGAGGCTGGCACTGTGGTGTAGCAGGTAAAGCCACCGCCTGCAGTGCCAGCATCCCATATGGGCGCCAGTTCTAGTTCCCGCTGCTCCACTTCCGATCCAGCTCTCTGCTATGGCCTGGGAAAGCAGTAGAAGATGGCCCAAATCCGTGGGCCCTTGCACCTGCATGGGAGACCCAGAGGAAGCTCCTGGCTCCTGGCTTTGGATGGGCACAGCTCTGACCATTGCGGTCAGTTGGGGAGTGAACCATCAGATGGAAGACCTCTCTCTCTGTCTCTCTCTCTCTCTCTGCCTCTCCTTTTCTCTCTGTGTAACTCTGAATTTCAAATAAATAAATGGAATTAAAAAATAAATGTAGGGGTGGGCATTCTGGTGCAGCGGGTTGAGCTGCTGCCTGCGTTGCCATTAATCCCATATGAGTGCCAGTTCGAGCCTCAGCCACTCTGTTTCCGATCCAGCCCCCTGCTAATGTGCCTGGGAAAGCAGCAGAAGATGGCCCAAGGGCTTGGGCCCCTGTCACCCTTGTGAGAGACCTGGATGGAGTTACAGGCTTTCAAATAATAAATAATGAAACAAATTCTTTTTTACAAAGTTTATTTTGGTGCAAAAAGGTTTTTGACGTCATGCATATGATTGGTGTTGACGAAGTTCACGACAAGTTCTTTCCATGATGCTGCCCGTAGTCGTTACATACATTTTTCATGAACTTTCTCGCGACCATTCGTATGCATAGATATCAAAAATTTCTTTTCAAAGATTTATTTATTTTAAAAGCAGAGGAACAAAGAGAGAGGAGAGACAGAGATCTCTCTGCTGGTTTTTCTTCCCAAATCGCTGTGGTGGCTGGGGCTGGGATAGGCTGCAACGCCATCTGGGTCTCCCGCATGAGTGGCAGGGGCTCATGTACTTGGGCTATCATCCACTGCTTTCCCAGGCACATCAGCAGGGAGCTGGACCAGAAGTGGAGTAGCTGGGACTAAAACCAGCACTCTGATACGGGTTGTGGGCGTCACAGCGGGCTAACCTGCTGCACCACAACATTGGCCCCGCAGAAGTTTTTTGTGCCATAACAAGCTTGTATTTTAATTACAGTTTTTCAAAAAGTTTTTTTGTTTGTTTGTTTTTGAAAGGCAGAGTGACACAGAGAGCTCCCACCCGCTGGTTCACTCACCAAACGCCCACAGTGGCCGTGGCTGGGGCACGAATTCATTGCCAGGAGCCAGGAATTGAGTCCAGGTCTCCCATGTGAGTAGCAGGGACCCCGTTGCTTGAGCCCCTAGGGTGCATACTAGCAGGATGCGAGGACTGGGAGCAAACCCAGGCACTCTGATGAACCCTGTGCCGAGATGCTCACCCCATCCACACACGTGACCCCGGCGCTCACCCTCACATCAGCGTGTTGAAGGGCAGTGTTTGTGGAACACACTTCGGGAGAGGTTCTTCTTTTAAAAGATTTATTTATTTATTTGGAAGTCAGAGTTACACAGAGAAAGGAGAGGCAGAGAGAGAGAGAGAGAGAGAGGTCTTCCATCCACTGGTTCACTCCCCAATTGTCCACAATGGCCAGAGCTGCGTTGATCCGAAGCCAGGAGCTTCTTCCAGGTTCTCCATGCAGGGGCAGGGGCCCAAGCACTTGCGCCATCTTCTACTGCTTTCCCAGGCCATAGCAGAGAGCTGGATTGGAAGTGGAGCAGCTGGGACTCGAAGCGGCGTTCACGTGGGATGCCAGTACTGCAGGTGGCTGCTTTACCCGCTGTGTCACAGTGCTGGCCCCGGGAGAGGTTCCTGACCAGGGAAGGAAGTATCAGCGATGAGACTGGCATGGTGTTAAGGACAGCTCACTTGGCAGAGGAGCTGGAGAGAGGCTGCAGGGAGGAGGGCCCTGAAGGCAGAGAATTCTCGCCAACACTGACTTCCCGAGCCCCTGCTAAGCCTGTGCCCCCTCCAGGGCCATGCAGCTGCAGGCAGGGGGGTGGTGTTGACAGGCAGGGTGGGCAGATCTGATTACTCAGTCGGGGTCCGGGGCAGGGTGAGCTGCAGAATAAGGGCATAATCAACAAACTGAGATCAGCAGCAAATAGTTCATGGCCCCTGGGTGACCCCTTAGCCACCAGACAAGGCAGAGCTGCCCCTCTTTTTTTTTTTTTTTTTTTTTTGACAGAGTGGACAGTGAGAGAGAGAGACAGAGAGAAAGGTCTTCCTTTTGCCGTTGGTTCACCCTCCAATGGCCGCCGCTGCAGCCGGCGCACCGCGCTGATCCGATGGCAGGAGCCAGGTGCTTCTCCTGGTCTCCCATGGGGTGCAGGGGCCAAGCACTTGGGCCATCCTCCACTGCACTCCCTGGCCACAGCAGAGAGCTGGCCTGGAAGAGGGGCAACCGGGACAGAATCCGGCGCCCCGACCGGGACTAGAACCCGGTGTGCCGGCGCCGCAAGGCGGAGGATTAGCCTACTGAGCCGCGGTGCTGGCCAGAGCTGCCCCTCTTAAACTGAGTGTTACACGGCCACGCTAGGACACACAGTGTCAGGCACACACGGTCTTTCAATTTCTAGAGTAGGGGCAAATTCTAGAGGGGTGTGTGGACTTCTGAGAAGTCGGGACTCCCGTGAAGCCCTGCGTCACACAGCAGGTACACACAGCGCCGAGCGGCTCAGCACTCTTCATTCAGCCAGTGTGTGCTGCTACACCACCCTGCCTCTAGTGATGTATCGATCTATCAATCTGTGCCTCACCACCCAGTCTTTTATCAAGGTCAATTCTCCACAAAAACCACAGGTTTTTATCTCCTTTTTACTAAGTGTAAAACCATATGGCTGGAGTTGGTGTTGTGGTGCGGCAGGTTAAGCCACCCCCTGCAATGCCGGCATCCCAAGTGAGCACCAGTTCCAGTGCCGGCTGCTCCCCTTTGGATCCACCTCCCTGCTGATGTACTTGAAAAGCAGCACAGGGGCCGGCGCTGTGGCGCAGTGGGTTAACTCCCTAGCCTGAAGCGCCGACATCCCATGTGGGCACCGGTTCTAGTCCCGGCTGCTCCACTTCTGGTCCAGCTCTCTGCTGTGGCCTGGGAAGGCAGTGGCAGGTGGTGCAGGTCCTTGGGCCCCTGATCCCACATAGGAGACCTGGAAGAAGCTCCAGGCTCCCAGCTTCGGATCAGCCCAGCCATTGTGGCCATTTGGGAGGGTGAACCAGCAGGTGGAAGACCTTTCTCTCTGTCTCGCCCTCTCACTTTCTGTAACTCTGCCTCTCAGATAAATAACTAAAATCTTTAAAAAAGAAGAGAGAGGAACCTTTCCTAAACTGCCCTTGACCCTTCACATGACACTTGCCTGCGCCACATCACAGGTACTTTACACCAGGGACCACGGAGGAGTTTGTTGGGACTTCGCGTGAAGGACTTTGCCAAGCTCCCTTCATCTGGTTGTTCCTGTTCCTGGCACTGCCCCAGTGGCTACTGTCACCTCATTAAAAGAGGGAGCGAGGGGCCAGCTTTGTGGCATAGTGGGTTAAGCTGCTGCCTGCAACGTGGGCATCCCATATGAGTGCTGGTTCTAGCTATGGCTGCTCTGCTTCCAATCCGGCTCCCTGCTAATGGCCTTGGGAGAGCAGCAGAAGATGGCTGAAGTGCCTGGGCCTCTGTCATCCATGTGGGAGACCCGGATAGAGTTCCTGTCTCCTGGCTTTGGCCTGGCCCAGCCCTGGCTGTTGTAGGAGTAGATGAGAGAGTCTGTCTGCCTCTCTGTGTCACTCTCCCTTTCAAATGAAATAAGCAGATAAGTCTTTAAAAGATAAAAAGGAGGTGGGCGGCCAGCGCCGTGGCTCACTAGGCTAATCCTCCGCCTTGCGGCGCCGGCACACCGGGTTCTAGTCCCGGTCGGGTGCCGGATTCTGTCCCGGTTGCCCCTCTTCCAGGCCAGCTCTCTGCTGTGGCCAGGGAGTGCAGTGGAGGATGGCCCAAGTGCTTGGCCCCTGCACCCCATGGGAGACCAGGAGAAGCACCTGGCTCCTGCCTTCGGAACAGCGTGGTGCGCCGGCCGCAGCGCGCCAGCCGTGGCAGCCATTGGAGGGTGAACCAACGGCAAAAAGGAAGACATTTCTCTCTGTCTCTCTCTCTCTCTCACTATCCACTCTGCCTGTCAAAAAAAAAAAAAAAAAAAAAAAAGGAGGTGGGCATTTTTTAAAGATTTATTTATTTGAAAGGCAGAATTAACAGAGATTGAGAGAGATCTTCTATCCACTGGTTCACTCCCCCAAATTGCCACAAATGGAGTTGAGCTGATCCATAGCCAGGAGCCAGGAGCTTCTTCCAGACTCTCACATGGGTCGCAGGGGCCCAGGGACTTGAGCTGTCTTCTGCTGCTTACCCAGATGCATTAGCAAGGAGCTAGATTGGAAGTGGAGCAGCCAGGACTTGAACTGGTGCCCATATAGGACGCCGGCATCACAGGCGGTGGCTTTACCCACTGTGCCACAACACCGGCCCCAGAGATAGGCTTCTTGACACAGCCAGTTAAGCTACTGCTTAGCACACCCACATCCATACCAGAGTGCTTGGGATCAAGACCCTGCCCCCAGCCTTCCAAACCAGCTTCCTGCTAGTGCCCCGGGGAGGCTGCAGGGGATGGCTTCACTTTTTGACTTGTTTTTACTCACATGGAAGACCTGTATGGAGTTCTGGCCTCCTGGCTTCAGCCTGCCCAACCCTAACTGTTGCAGGCATGTGGGGAATGAACCAGCAGACAGAAGATAATTTCTTTCTCTCTCTCTACCTTTTAAGTAAACATTGAGAGAGAGAGAGAGAGAGAGAGAGAGAGAGAGTTCTGCATGGTTGGAGACGCTCGAGGCTCAGATGTTAGATGGGTCAGCACCCAGCGGAGGCCTCCTCGCTGCTCTGTTGGAAGAAAGGAGAATCTGGGTGAGGCAGCCACGTGGGGTGCTCGGTGACTGGGTTCAGCTGCGGGTGTTTCCCGTCCTGTGAGGAACAGGGTCTCTCTGACCTTGCGTCCTTGTCTGTTCAGCGTGCTTGCTCAGTGGGCTCCTGCCGGGGCGCTTGCTGAGCCGGCCGCCCGCTCACATAACCAGCTTTCGGGAGCTCCCGAGGGGTGCCCCAGGCAGTGCTTGGCCATGGGAGTGCAATAAAGCACCGAACCGACTTCCCCGCTCCCCCGGAGGTGCGACCCGTGAGAGGAAACAGACGGTCCCCACGTGAGCCTCTGTGTCTGGGGGCTAGCTGATGGCCAGGAGAGAAGCAGATGTGCTGAGGAGGCGCCCGCCTGTCTGCCAGTCTGCTGGGGAAGGGAGTGCGTCCCATCCTGGCTCAGCCTCAGCTCAGGGTGGCCTGGCGCAGGTCTCTCGACTCTCCAGGCTAAAATGGAATGAGTAGAACTTCCCCAGCGGGGCTGTTGAATTAGTGGGAATTCCAGGGTAGTTCAAACAGTTCATGAAAAAAATGGAATTAATGATGTTTACTTTGGTGTAGAAAATTTTGAAATCCATGCTTTTTTTTTCATTATACACATTTTCCATGAACTTTTTGAAGGCCCTCGTGGAATGCCTTTGGTGCAGGGCCTGTCACATACTCAAGCCCATCATTGGGAGCTAGAATGATTGGATTTTACAAGAGGCAATTTTTTGTAAGATTTATTTATTTATTTATTTGAAAGTGAGAGTTGCACACACACACACACACTCACAGAGAGAGGTCTTCCATCCACTGGTTCTCTCCCTAATTAGCCCCAACAGCTGGAGATGCGCTGATCTGAAGCCAGGAGCCAGAAGCTTCTTCTGGCTTTCCCACGTGGGTGCAGGGATCCAAGGACTTGGGCCATCTTCCACTGCTCTCCCAGGCCATAGCAGAGAGCTGGATTCAAAGTGGAGCAGCCGGGACTAGAACCGGCACCCATATGGGATGCCGGCACTGCAGGCAGAGGCTTTACCTGCTATGCCACAGTGCTGGCCCCCCAAGAGGGGGCCTAAAAAGAGAGGTGGCAGAGCTGCGGAGTGGCGTTGTAGGGGAGCAGCTTGAAGGGAATGGACTCTGCCCAGCTCTCTCATTCCCATAGCCTGGGTGGCCAGGGTGGGGGAGTGGTGGGAGGGTGGCAGGGAGGCTTGGAGAGACCCACCTGGGTCTCTGAGGGGAGGGCATGACTGCGGCTGGCTGGACCATGGCCGGGGGCCTGTGACTCCCCTTGTCCTGTCCACCACCTGCCCCCAGGCCCAGCCCTGCCCAAGTCCCGTCATCTCCCCACAGCGAGGGAGCAGAACTCAGGCACCGGGACGCCCAGGTCCAGCGCTGTGAGGACGTCCTGCAGCGGCTGCGGGCCGTGGTACCCCAGATTGACATGGAAGGGGATCGCAACATCTGGATCGTGAAGCCAGGAGCCAAGTCCCGTGGACGAGGTGGGGGTCAGCCCTTGCTCCCTGCACCTCACCCCGCGGCGAGGTTCCCCACGTGCGGCCCGGGCTCAAGTCCCAGCCCTGCTAGTGACACTCCACGTGTCCCCTCTCTGAGCTGTTTCCTCGTCTGTGACGATGCCGACACTTCCAGTGGGGTGCGGATTAAATGAAGGAGTGCCCTGGAAACTCGGCCTGGGGTCTGGGCCAGAGCCATCTCCCTGTAAAAGCAGACGCCTCCTCCCCTGCCTCAGAGTTCAGGTTAGCGCTTCAGGTGGCTTTGGTGACGCGGGCACTCAGTAGCTTGGCATCTCAGGGCTCTCAGGTTTGACCACTGCAACCTTGTGGGTTGTAGCAGAGTGGTTGGGGTCCTGGATGGTGGCAGCCACACCCACGAGGTCTAACCCAGGTGTCGCCGCTGTGGCGTCTCCTGTTGATGGATGGACTGTCTTGGACTTCCCTTCTCTAGTGGAGATACGTTTAGTGACTGATTCCTGTCGCAGGGGGTCAGATGGGGTCACATGTCCTGCTCCCTGTAAGACTTCAGGCAGGTGAGTCACGCTCTCCTGGCCTCGTCCTTAGGGAGCCAGCCCTTCCGTGTGAGGACTGAATGAAAGGCGTGTGTAGTCAGAGCCTGTGTACGGCCGTTACTGTGACCGCCCAGCCAAGTTCAAGTGGCAGCCGGACAGGAGCGCCGGCAGGCTGGGGTGGTGCTCCAGTAGGGGCTCCAGAAGTGTGCTAACAGGCTTTTGGTACCAGATCGTGAAAATGCATGCTCATGACCCCAGCAGAAACCAAAGAGTGCAGAAAACTGGGAAGAAGCAAGCAGAAGGAGATAACTGCCGTTCACCTTCAGGTGTTTCTTTCTACGCTGTCTTCCACGCACTTGGAGTGTGTGCTTGTGCACGTGTGTGTGCACGTGTGTGTGCACTTCACACAAAAGCACGCTGTTCCACACCTTCCCTTTTTCACTCTTTATAATCTTTCCATATCAGTTAGTACGAGACTTTTCTGTTTTGCAGCTTTTCTCTTAGCAATAGAACTTGGAAATCACTCCATTTCAGAGCTGTGGTTTTTGTTCTCTGTTTTAAACATCCTTTTAGGGACCCTTTCAAACGTACACAGATGGAGACAGAATAAGACAGTGACTCTCCAGGTACCTAGCACCAAATGGTACCATTTATCTGTTTGAAAAATACTTAACTGAAGTGTCTGTAGGATACACTTCCTTGAAAAGGACCCGCGTCGTGGGCGTACACATCAGTGAAGTGCATCAATGAACGTCCCGCCCATGGCACCCAGGGTCAAGGAACAAGATACCTGCACCCTGCAGGGCCCTTCTTGTATCTCGGCCTCCCTGGAGTGGCCCCCGTCCTGACCAGGATGTCTGAGCTGTGCAGAGAGGGAGGGAGGGTGTAGGCCCTCCTGGCTCACCGCGTGCTGCCGTGGAGGCTTGTGTCGTTGGACGCCCTGTCATAGACTTCCTTTTCTCGTGGAGAATTTTTGTTGATTGATTCCTGTTGGAGGCAATGCTGTGAGGAGCATCTTGTGCAGATGTCTGGACTTTTCCTTTTGTTGCCTTTGGGTAAATTCCTAGAAATGAAATTGCTCTGTCGGTCTGATCTTGGCTCATACAAGGCAACCTGTTCTGGGCAGTCCTGCTGAGTGCACTGTGGACATTTGAGACAAAGTCTTGTCTGGGAACCAGGCACAGTTTTGTCTGTGCCTTTTAAAAAAGTATTTACTTGGGGCCAGCGCTGTGGCTCAGTAGGGTAAGCTGCCGCCTGCAGTGCCAGCATCCCATATGGGTGCTGGTTCAAGTCCAGACTGTTCCACTTCCAATCCAGATCCCTGCTAATGTGCCTGGGAAAGCAGTGGAAGATTGCCCAAGTTCTTGGTCCCTGTACCCACGTGGAAGACCCAGAAGAAGCTCCTGACTTCTGGCTTCGGCCTGAGCCAGCCCTGGTCATTGTGGCCATTTGGAGAGTGAAACAGCGGATGGAATATTTCTCTCTCTCTCTCTCCCTCTCCCTCTCCTTCTCTCTCTATAAGTCTTTCAAACAACCAAATAAATCTTAAAAAGATAAAGCAGAGGCTGGCGCCGTGGCTCAACAGGCTAATCCTCCGCCTTGTGGCGCCAGCACACTGGGTTCTAGTCCCGGTTGGGGCGCCGGATTCTGTCCTGGTAGCCCCTCTTCCAGGCCAGCTCTCTGCTGTGGCCAGGGAGTGCAGTGGAGGATGGCCCAAGTGTTTGGGCCCTGCACCCCATTGGAGGAGACCAGGAGAAGCACCTGGTTCCTGGCTTTGGATCAGCGCGATGCGCCGGCCGCAGCGCGCCGGCTGCGGCGGCCATTGGAGGGTGAACCAACGGCAAAAGGAAGACCTTTCTCTCTGTCTTTCTCTGTCCACTCTGCCTGTCAAAAAAAAAAAAAAAAAAGATAAAGCAGAAAGGGGCCTGCACTGAGGTGTGGTGGGCTAAGCCTCCGCCTGTGGTGCCAGCATCCCATATGGACAGTGGAAGATAACCCGAATGCTTGGCTCCCTGCACCCTGGTGGTAGACCCAGAAGAAGCTCCTGGCTTTAGATTGGTCAGCTCTGGCTGTTGCAGCCATTTGAGGAGTGAACCAGCAGATGGAAGACTCTCTCTGTCTCTCCCTCTCTGTGACTCTACCTCTCAAAAAAAAAAAAAAAAAAAAAAAAACACACCTGAAAATCATTTGACCCTATGTGTGAGGGTTTGGGGGGAAAAACCCACATATTTATTTATTTAAAATGCAGAGTTACAGAAAAAGGGAAAGACACAAAAAGGAGAGAGAGAGAGAGAGAGAGAGAGAGAGAGAGATCTGGCTCATTCTCCAAATGATCGCAACAGCTGGGGCTGCACAGGCCATAGCTAAAAGCTTGGAACTCCATCCTGGTCTCCCACATGGGTGACAGGGGCCCAGGCACTTGGGCCATCTTCTGCTGTTTTCCCAGCTGCATTAGCAAGGAGCTGGATCGGAAGTGGAGCAGCTGAGTCTCACTGCTCAGGTGGGACGCTGGTGTCACAGGCCACATCTTCCTCTGCTGTGCCACAGTACCAGCCTCGGCAGTGTCTCTGGAAGGTGATGAGGCTGCTTTGGGGGCTGAACCATGAAGGAATGCGCCTGGTTTACAAGTGTGTGTGTTGGGGTTGTACCTTGCTAGCATCCAAACTGTGTGTGGAGGCCTGAGGTTCTTCACTCCTTAGGATGAGAGGCAGAATTAGGCACCATTTTCTACCCAGGAGAATGTCTAAAATACATAACCAACAAGCAGTGTTGTGTGGGATATGGGCAAACACCTGGTATTCTACAGTCTTTCTGGGACCAGAAATTGGTTGCGAATTCCTGGCAGTATAAAATGAAGCCAGCACACACCCTAGGGGCTAGCAAATCTGCAGCTAGGAATTTGTCCCACACGTATGTAACGACCATGATACATACTGTCATCATTGACTCAACCTTTACTCACACTTCTGGGTGCCAAGCACCCTTGCAGACGGAGTGGCTTTATTCTGTGGAATCCCATGAAACCAACACGTGTGGGTCTCAAGCCACGCTTGGCTGCCACTGGAGAAGGAGACATTTTTTATTGTGTGTTCTTTTGTATTGAAACTGGCTTTTGGCCGGCGCCGTGGCTCACTAGGCTAATCCTCCACCTACTGGTGCCAGCACACCGGGTTCTAGTCCCGGTCTGGGTGCCGGATTCTTTCCTGGTTGCCCCTCTTCCAGGCCAGCTCTCTGCTGTGGCCCGGGAAGGCAGTGGAGGATGGCCCAAGTACTTGGGCCCTGCACCCCATGGGAGACCAGGAGAAGCACCTGGCTCCTGCCATCGGATCAGCGTGGTGCGCCAGCCGTGGTGGCCATTGGAGGGTGAACCAACAGCAAATGGAAGACCTTTCTCTCTGTCTCTCTCTCTCACTGTCCACTCTGCCTGTCAAAAAACAAAAAACAAAAAAACAAAAAAAACAAAACCAAAACTGGCTTTTGTTTTTTATTCCGTTATTGGAGAATAAATAATGTATATGTACATGCTTCACAAAAGCCCAAAACTCGTTACATTTTTATCTCTCTGTAGATTCCTTGTCAATCAAACCAAACTTAGAAACTTAAAAACCTTGATGTTGCTACAGCTTCTCAGCTTTGGCAGAGGGAACCAGTTGCCGTGGAGAGGGGCGGCCTCGCCCCCTTGGCCCGCTCCGTTCTGTGGGGGGGAGAGCGTAGGGTGTGCTGCTCGTGGTACCTTAGCCTCACCCCTGAGCCCCGCTGCCCTCGCCCCTGTAGGCATCATGTGCATGGACCACCTGGAGGAGATGCTGAAGCTGGTGGACTGCAACCCCCTAATGATGAAGGACGGCAAGTGGGTGGTGCAGAAGTACATCGAGCGGCCCCTGCTCATCTTCGGCACCAAGTTCGACCTGAGACAGTGGTTCCTGGTCACCGACTGGAACCCGCTCACCGTGTGGTTCTACCGCAACAGCTACATCCGCTTCTCCACGCAGCCCTTCTCCCTGAAGAATCTGGACAAGTGAGTCCCACTGCTCAGTTCCCTGTGGGGCGCGGGACCTAGGGAGCCAAGAGGCGGGCACCGTGCAGCCCCATGGGGCTCCAGCCCCAGCCTCCCTCCCACCTGACAGCTACTCAGAGTGTGTGCCCTGTGCCTGTGTCACGTCCTAGACTCTCAGGGCCCAGTGCTGAACAAAACAGGATCCCAGCTCTAAGAGCTCTCGTTCTGGGAGGGACAGATAGACAAGCAGTGAACACAGGAGTAAAGTTAACTAGCAGACGGAGAGCTGGCCTGGGCTACGGGGAAGGAAACGTCTCACAAGGCAGAGGGTGGTCAGGAGGCGTTCTAGAGGAGAGAGGCAAGATGCAGTGCTGCTGTGGGGTAGAGGCTGCAGCTTCCAGACTGTGACTTTGGTCAAGCAAAACCTCCCTGTAAGCCCCACTGGAGCCCACCTGGAGGATGGAGGCACCAGTGTGAAGTTCAGTGACGGGCACTTCACGTGTGATGCAGGCTTTGTGTGCACAAATATGTAAGCACCGTGTGTCTGCTCTCTCACTCTTGATAAAAGCTGGCGGAGCAGCTGCTGTTACAACCCCGTTTCACAGATGCCGGGAGCACGCAGGCTTAGTGACTCGCCTGAGACCTCACACAGGCCAGTGCTGAAGATGGTGCCTACAGGGCCGTCCTCTTACCCGTCTTCTGTCTTCCAACACTGGGAGGGCTAAGGAGAGGAGGCACAGCGCATTCAGTGTAGTGCCCAGCTGCTGCTCCTCAGAGGGGCCCGACTGTTCCTGACCCTGGAAGTGTGCTGGGCACAGGCCTGGGTCCTTCCCTCCCCCTGCCAGGTAGGGTCCTCTGTGTCACTGGACTGTTCTAGCTCAGCTTTCTGCTCCCTGCCCTAGCGCGGTGCACCTGTGCAACAACTCCATCCAGAAGCACCTGGAGAACTCGTGCCGCCGGCACCCAATGCTGCCCACGGACAACATGTGGTGCAGCCAGAAGTTCCAGGCCCATCTGAAGGACATGGGGGCCCCCGACGCCTGGTCCGGCGTCATTGTGCCTGGCATGAAGGCTGCCGTGATCCACGCGCTGCAGACCTCGCAGGACGCCGTGCAGTGCCGGAAGGCCAGCTTCGAGCTCTACGGGGCGGACTTCCTGTTTGGGGAGGACTTCCAGCCCTGGCTGATCGAGATCAACGCCAGCCCCTCCATGGCGCCCTCCACGCCCGTCACGTCCCGGCTCTGTGCCTGCGTGCAAGCAGACACCCTGCGCGTGGTCATCGACCGGCGGCTGGACCGCAGCTGTGACACGGGGGCCTTCGAGCTCATCTATAAACAGGTGAGCCGGGCGGGACCCCAGGGCGTCTGCCTCTGTGCTGGGTAGCCCCCCCTGAGGGCAGGCCGCTGTGCTCAGACCAGGCTCAGGGCTCAGTCCTGCCACGCTGGCCTAGTGCAGCTGCTTGCCCTCCGGGGCCTCAGCCTCCCTGGGCAGTGGCTGTGCTGCTGTCTTTCTCCTGGGCTTTGGGAGAACGAAATGTGGGTACTTTGAGGGGTCATCAAGCAGTTCACTGGAAATACGTGTTATGAAGAAAACCACCTGTGGATTTCAAAATCTTTTATACCAAAAGAAGCCTTTTTTAGAAACAGAGAAAGGGAGAGAGTACCCATCTACTGGTTCACTTCCCAAATGACTGCAAAAGTTGGGGACCGGGCTGGGTAGGGCCAGGAGCTCAACCCATGTCTCCTGTGTTAGTAGCAAGAATCCATTTATGGAGCTGTCACTTCCTCTCTCCTAGCATCTCATTAACAGGAAGCTGGAGTCAGGAACCAGAGCCAGGTTTTGAACCTAGACAGTCTGACATAGAAAACTGGGTGTCTCAAGCACTTAGCTAAGTGCCAGCCCCTAAACTTAATTTCTCGTTGTTTTTCCAATCACTGAGGTGCCCTCACATGTGTAGGGAAGTACAGGGCAGAGCATTAAGAGCACTGCCGGGGCTGGTGCTGTGGCACAGTGGGTAAAGCCGCCGCCTGCAGTGCCAGCATCCCATATGGGCGCCGGTTCAGGTTCTGGGTGCTCCACTTCCGGTCCAGTTCTCTGCTATGGCCTGAAAAGCAGAGGAAAAATAGTCCAAGTCCTTGGGCCCTGCACCCGCATGGGAGACCCAGGAGAAGCTCCTGCTCCTGGCTTCAGATCAGCCCAGCTCTGGCTGTTGTGGCCGTTTACGGAGTGAACCAGCAGATGGACTGTCTTTATCTCTCTGCCTCTTCCTTTCTGTAACTCTGACTTTCAAATAAATAAATGTTTCAAATAAATAAATCTTAAGAGGCCGGCACTATGGCTCACTTGGTTAATCCTCTGCCTGCGGCGCCGCCATCCCATATGGGTACCGGGTTCTAGTCCTGGCTGTTCCTCTTCCAGGCCAGCTCTCTGCTGTGGCCCCGGAGGGCAGTGGAGGATGGCCCAGGTGCTTGGGCCCTGCACCCGCATGGGAGACCAGGAGGAAGCTCCTGGCTTCTGGCTTCGGATTGGCGCAGCACGCCAGCTGTAGTGACCATTTTGGGGGTGAACCAATGGAAGGAAGACCTTTCTCTCTGTCTCTGTCTATCTCTCTCTCACTAACTCTATCTGTAAATAAATAAAATAATAAACAAACAAACAAATCTTTTTAAAAAGAAAATGCACAGCCAGCCCCTGAGCCGTGGCTGCGACCCTGAGACTTTGGACCCAGACACGAGGGGTTTCAGCTTCCCTCTGTAGAGCAGTAATAAAATAGTGCCTACCTCCTAAGCTGTGAGGATTCAGGGATGGATGTAATGGAGTCCATAGTCCCTGGTACCTGGTCACTGTGACGCAGGTTTGGCTGTTGTGTTTATCACACTGAGCGTGCTAGCATGTTCATATAAAAGACCGCTTGTCCAGTGCCGGGATGTGCAGTAAAGGTCAGCTTGGTGGTGGCTGCTGTGTTGTACTGCTGCTGCTTCCACGCTCTTCCCAGAAAGAGATTGAAAGCTACATGAGGAGGGGTCTGCGCCCTGGAACTGTCTCCCTGTAGCTGTGCAGTGAGGGGTCTGCACCCTGGAGGTATCCCCCTGTGGCTGTGCAGTGAGGGGTCTGCACCCTGGAGGTGTCTCCCTGTGGCTGTGCCGGGTGGTCTGCGCCCTGGAGGTGTCCCCCTGTGGCTGTGCAGTGAGGAGTCTGTGTGCCCTGGAGGTGTCTCCCTGAGGCTGTGCAGTGAGGAGTCTGTGTGCCCTGGAGGTGTCTCCCTGTGGCTGTGCAGTGAGGGGTCTGCGCCCTGGAGGTGTCTCCGTGTGGCTGTGCAGTGAGGAGTCTGCGCCCTGGAGGTGTCTCCCTGTGGCTGTGCAGTGAGGGGTCTGTGCCCTGGAGGTGGTCTCCCTGTGGCTGTGCAGTGAGGGGTCTGCGCCCTGGAGGTGTCTCCCTGTGGCTGTGCAGTGAGGGGTCTGCGCCCTGGAGGTGTCTCCGTGTGGCTGTGCAGTGAGGGGTCTGCGCCCTGGAGGTGTCTCCCTGTGGCTGTGCCGGGTGGTCTGCGCCCTGGAGGTGTCCCCCTGTGGCTGTGCAGTGAGGAGTCTGTGTGCCCTGGAGGTGTCTCCCTGAGGCTGTGCAGTGAGGAGTCTGTGTGCCCTGGAGGTGTCTCCCTGAGGCTGTGCAGTGAGGTGTCTGTGCCCTGGAGGTGTCTCCCTGTGGCTGTGCAGTGAGGGGTCTGCGCCCTGGAGGTGTCTCCCTGTGGCTGTGCAGTGAGGAGTCTGTGTGCCCTGGAGCTGTCTCCCTGAGGCTGTGCAGTGAGGTGTCTGTGCCCTGGAGGTGTCTCCCTGTGGCTGTGCAGTGAGGGGTCTGTGCCCTGGAGGTGGTCTCCCTGAGGCTGTGCAGTGAGGTGTCTGTGCCCTGGAGGTGTCTCCCTGTGGCTGTGCAGTGAGGGGTCCGCGCCCTGGAGGTGTCTCCCTGTGGCTGTGCAGTGAGGGGTCTGCGCCCTGGAGGTGTCTCCGTGTGGCTGTGCAGTGAGGGGTCTGCGCCCTGGAGGTGTCCCCCTGTGGCTGTGCAGTGAGGGGTCTGCTCTCTGGAGGTGTCTCCCTGTGGCTGTGCAGTGAGGGGTCTGCACCCTGGAGGTGTCTCCCTGTGGCTGTGCAGTGAGGGGTCTGTGCCCTGGAGGTGGTCTCCTCGCATTGGCGCATTGAGGGGTCTGCGCCCTGGAGGTGGTCTCCCTGTGGCTGTGCCGGGGGGTCTGCGCCCTGGAGGTGTCTCCCTGTGGCTGTGCAGTGAGGGGTCTGCGCCCTGGAGGTGGTCTCCCTGTGGCTGTGCCAGGGGGTCTGCGCCCTGGAGGTGGTCTTCTCGCATCGGCGCATTGAGGGGTCTGTGCCCTGGAGGCACACTGAGAATATCTGCGGGCTCTGTAGGCAAACCCACCCTGACCTCCTCCCCTACCCATCTGCGGCTGCTCAGGGCAGGGGGCTGCGCCCTGCTGGGGGTTTCCCCCATGGCAGTAGCACTCAGCTTCTGTTGAGGTGGGCTGCAGGGAGGGGCTGGCTGACCACGTGACCTTAGTGGCCTCCTCTTTGTGACAGTTACTTATAACATTTTATTTAAGATTTTATTTATTTATTTGAAAGAGTTATGGAGAAAAGGAAGCAAGATACAGAGAGAGATCTTCAATCCACAGGTTCACTCTCCAGATGACCGCAATGGCTAGGCCAAAGCCAGGAGCCAGGAGCTTCATCTGGGTCTCCCGTGTGGATGGCAGGAGGCTTAGCACTTGGGTCATTTTCCACTGCTTTTCCCAGGCCATCAGCAGGGAGCTGGGCTGGAAGTGGGCATGAACCGGCGCCCACGTGGGATGATGGCAGAGCCGGGGAAGGGTCCCACTGTGGTGCAGAGGTCTCCTTGCAGAGGCATGGCTGCCAGGGGCCCCTGCCCCAGAGGTTGTTCTGTGGCCTGGGCACCTGCCTTATCCCATGACCAGTTGTCCTCTGTCGGCCTCCATTGCTGATTGGCTTTCATTGTTAGGGCCGGCATGAATCAAGGCGCACACCCAGCCCTGGTTGGTCTCTCGTCGTCCGAATCTGGGACGCCTCTGGAGCGTTCTCCACTGCTCGGGTCTTGGAAGGGACCCAGCAGTTGTTTGTAGAACGGTCCCATGCTCTGCACTGATGCGATTGGTTCTTGGTGGTGGTGTTGCACTTGGTCTTGTGTTGTCTGGATGTCCTGTAATGTAGATGCTAGGTCAGACAGCTTGCTGGGATTCGGATTGGATGTTTTTCGTTAGAGTGTCTCCTGATTACTGGTGTGAAACCTGACTGTGGGCTAAGGCAGCAGCTGCCAGATCTCACTGTGATAAGCTGCACCCTTCCCTTTGTAATTTTTAATGACACTGTAAGGTGAGATTTAGGCCTTATGCAAATTACAGTGTCCTGCCATGCTTTTCACTTGGTTGTTTTGATAGACAGTTTTGGTTCCTGCCTGTTCAGACAGTAAGGTTCTAATTCTGTAGGTACCTTCTCTGTTGGTTGAGACCCTTCTGCACAGGTGAGCTGGGGTTCTGGGGTGCGCACGCAGCCGGGTTTGTAACCAGCTCCCCGGTGTTGTGGTGTTTAGAGAGAATTCAGTCAGGAGCCCCTGCTGACACTGTAGACCCCTCAGGAGGGCCCCAGGCCTGAAGGAGGCTGCTAGCGAGGCCCAGTAGCCGCTCCTGGAACCCGGCCGGCTTAGGGGAACTTTAGACGGTAGGGGACACTTCCCTCTGCCCTGCCAGTCAGCTGCTCGCTGTCTGCACGCTGCCTTCTTTAAAAGCCCTCAGCCTCTGCTCGCTGTGGCTTGGGCTCAGCCGTCACTCCAAGGACCCCAAGCCCCTGACCTGTCTGGCATCCTTACTGAGCTTCTGTGCAGGAAGCTGGCCCTCGGCACCGAGCCACAGGCACTTGGGAGGGCGGTGGGAAGGAAGGTGCCGGGGGCGGCTGGCCAGGACTGCGCCGTTCATCCCGCTCAAGCAGCCCTTGGGGCTCTGTGACTGGGTGCCGCAGTGGGTCTCCGGGGCTGGCACCTCCCTGTGCCTCGGCCCAGCTGCTTCAGAAAACTTCTGTGCTCATTTCTGCCCTGAGTCCTGCCGGGCGGTGCAGTGCCGGTGCGGCGGTCTGAGCGGGCCTCGTCTCGTCTGCTTGCCCACAGCCCGTCGTGGAGGTGCCCCAGTATGTGGGGACCCGGCTCCTGGTGGAAGGCTGCACCATCAAGAAGCCCCTGGCGATGTGTCACCGGCGGGTCGGGGCCCGCCCGGCCCTCCCTCACCTGCCGACTCAGCGAGGCGCTGGGGAAGGCAAGGACTCTTCTAGGAACGCTGCTGGGCCCAGAAGCCAGGGACACAGGGAGAAGCCGGACAGCATGTCCACCACCACGGCCCCCGGAAAGGGGAAGAAAGGCAAGGCGAAAAGTGCCGCCGCCCTGGCCCGCCCCGGCTCCGGAAGTGGGACCCCTCCGGCTCCAGGATGGGCTGCATTTTCACCATGACCTTTGGTAGTGGAGACAGGCAACCCCACCCCCTGGACAGATTGCCATTGAGTCCGAAGAACCCCCAGGCCCTGGGTAAGACCGTGCTCCCCACACACCCCAGTGTCCTGCTGTCCAAGCCCTGCCCCTGCCAAAGAGCCAGCAGTAAGAAGTAAAAGCCACCACTCGCAGAGCCTGCTTTCTAGATATTTCCAGCAGCCAGATGAGCAGTGTCCCTCCAGCCCGGGCACCCCCAGGCGTTACACAGGAGCCAGGACTCAGTGCAGACTGCACTCTCCCCAGCCCAAGCTCGTCTCCCCGGGGCACTGCCCTTCCTCAGGGAGGGAACTGGTACTGGTCGAGCACCTAGCAGCCACGCTGCCCCCACCCAGCCAGCCTCCTTTGTCCTCCCAGCAGCCCAGCAAGGTGGGTGCTGCTACTCCCGTTTTCCAGCTGAGGGATCAGGAAGTTTAAGGAAGTTACCCGAGGTTGCACAGCTCAGAAGGGGCAGAGCTGGGATGCAGACCCAGGTCTGTTGGACTCCAAACCCTGTGTTCTTCCCTTGTCTCTGGAGAAGGACCCGGGAGGGCTCTGCGCTCGCCCCTCCCTCTGCCCCGCCTTCCCACACCCTCCTTCTGGGGCAGCTGGTCAGCCCGGGGCCTCCCAGCCCTCCTCAGAGCTTCCCTTGCTCCCACAGCCCCTTACCACCTCCCCAGCCTTCACATCCAGGCCCGGCTGCCTTCTCCCCCTGGGCTCTGGCCCCAGGGGCGGGGTCTCAGGCTGCACCCCCACAAGCTGTTGGGCTCTAAGGCCCTGTCGACCACAGGCAAGGCCCTGATGACTCTACCTACGGCCAAGGTTTTCATTTCCCTCCCACCCAACCCTGAGCTCAAGCTGGCACCCGGCGTCCTGAAGCCAACAAAGGTGGGCCTTGAACGGTGACTGCCCCTGGTGGGCAGTGCCGGGCCCCCGGGCAGGGTCGGAGGGCCGCTCTCCAGACGGATTCCTGATCCTCTCCCTCTCTTCCCTCCTTTCACACCGAGGCTGCTGCTCCCCGGCACCTTCAGAGCCCCCGTCCTGGAAGGGCCTTGTGGCATCTGCCGTTTGACGTCGGAGCCCTCCCTGACACCCACAGGAAGGTCCAGGCCAGACGCGGGTGACAAATCCAAGGCCAAGGCGTGCCCCATGAAGCAGCTAGGCCTCCCAGAACCCCTGTCCCTTATCGACACCTTCGGGGGGCTGAGGGGCATGGGAGATATGCGGCTAGGGAAGCCCCTGCTTTGATCCCACTTGCCCCCCGTCCTGGGTCCAGTGCCAAATAAAAGGAGCAGGTGAAGTGCTGCGGGCTCGGCTCTGCTGCTGTTGGGGGGCGAGGAGCAGGGGGCTCGGCTCTGCTGCTGTTGGGGGGCGAGGAGCAGGGGGCTCGGCTCTGCTGCTGTCGGGGGGGGTGAGGAGCAGGGGCTCCGCTCTCTTCCCAGGGTCAGAGCAAGAGCTGGGCCAACTCAGCAGCTCTCCCTCGCGTAAGGCCCACAGCTCCCACCGAGTGACGGACCCGGGCCTCCCTCTTGGATTTGCAGGGGGCAGAGGGGGAACCTCCATGTTAGAGGAGACAGTCTGGAGGGAGACGGGGCTTGCCCACGACCGTGTGGCAGTGAGCGGGAGGCAGGGACGCACTTCCAGAACAGTCAGAGGTCAAGTCCCCAGCCCCAGGGGACGGATGAGATGGGCTGACAGCAGCATCACACTGTGTGGGCGTGGGAACACTCACAGCGGGAGGCACAGGGGAAGAGGGCAGGCCTTCCATTGCTCAGCCAGCAGCCACTGTCCCTAAAATAGCCAACAGACCACATCCTTGTGGGAAACAGTACCATTTCCAGTTGTCTGTTCAGTGGTGGTCCCCGAGACGGCCTGTGCCTGGAGCCTGGCCTCTGCCCTCAGGAGAAAGTCAAAGGATGGACCTCGGAGGTCATCCTGGATGACGTGGGCAGGCTCTCAGTGCGACGGCAGGGCCCTTACGGGAGTCAGAAGAGAAGTCGCGAGGTGTGGGACGGAGAGACTGCTCTCATCTTCCTAGGGGCCTGGCTGGCTGGAAAATTAACTTACAAACAACAGCTTAGCAGGAGAGCGGCGCACAGGGAATTACTTCAGCTTTAGGCAGCACGGAGTCCTGGTAAAAGATGAGCCGAGAGGCTGAGTCGGGCGCGTATGGAGCAGACTGCGTGTGCAGTGTGAGGGAGCAGCCACCTGTGGAGGCTTCAGACACGGGACAAGCTGACGTCCCCTCCCGGCGCGGGATGAGCCACTCCCACGGAACCTCATCTCCTGCTTCCAAGAAACAGTGCCATGGTCAAGCAGTCCTTTTGCACCGGCTGGTTTCCAGGCCAGTGGGCCAGGGTAGAATATTCTCAGCGCTGTCAAAGGCCAGATGAAGATGGGGGCCAAGGTGGGAGCCATGCAAGCCCAGGGATGCAAGGAGTCACCAGAAATCCTAGATTCTCCCAGGAGCCTCCTGTGGGAAGTGGTCCTGTTGCAGCCTTGACTTTGGACTTCAGGCCTCGAAAAATGAGAGTATGTATTTCCAGGTGTTTTTTCATAAGGCTTATTTTTATTTATTTGAAAGGCAGAGTTATGGAGAAATGTTGAAAAAGAACTCTTGGCCAGCAGCACTAGACTAAATCCTCCACCTGTGGCGCTAGTACCCCAGGTTCTAGTCCCCGTTGGGGCACCGGGATTCTGTCCCGGTTGCTCTTCTTCCAGTCCAGCTCTCTGCTGTACCCTGGGAAGGCAGTGGAGGATGGCCCAAGTGCTTGGGCCCTGCACAGCATGGGAGACCAGGAAGAAGCACCTGGCTCCTGGCTTCGGATAGGCACAGCGCCGGCCATAGTGGCCATTTGGGGGGTGAACCAACGGAAGGAAGACCTTTCCCTCTGTCTCTAACTGCCTGTCAAAAAAAAAAAAAAAAAAAAAAAAAAAAAAAAAAAAAAAAAAGAAGAAGAAGAAGAAGAAGAGAAAAAGAAAACAAAGAAGAGAGCTCTTTCCATCTGCTGGTTCATTCCTGGAATGGCACAAGGGCCTGAGCTGGGCCAGGCTGAAGCCAGGAGCGTCATCTGGGTCTCCCATGCGGTGCAGGGGCCCAAGTACTTGGGCCATCTTCCACTGCCTTCCCATGTGCATTAGCAGGGAGCTGGATTGCAAGTGCCACACTACCAGCCCCATATCATTATTCTTTAAATCACAGAAATGTTTTAGCGCAGTTAGTCTCATATAGTTGTTTTTACAAAACATTATTGGAAAGGCCAAGAGAGACCTTCAGTTTGTTGGTTCACTCCCAGTTTCTTCAACAGCCAGGGCAGTTGCATGCCCGACAGCAGCCAGCAGTTCACTCCAGCCTCCCACCTGGGTGGTGAGAACCCAAGTTCTGGAGCCAGCCTCCCAGGGTGCGTATTAGCTGGAGGTGGGATCGGAGCAAGAACTTGAGCCCAGGGACTCTGATACGAGCTGTGTGCCAACCACTGCGCCAAATGCCTGTTTCACATGTGTTTTAAAAAGTAAAATACCTACTGTCTCTGCTTACCAGGTACCTAGACCACTCAATTTCACAGAGACAGAAGGGATGGGGCAGGGGTAATGGGGAGTCAGTGTTTTAACAGGCAGCGTTTTAGCTCTGCAAGACAACATTTCTGCAGGTGGATGTGGTGTTCGCATGAGAATGTGGTAAAGTTTTGTGTATTTTACCACTATTTTTATTTTTATCTAATACCTCCTCCCGACCAGGATCAGGAGAAACCACTGAAAAAGGCATTCCAGTGTGGCAGAATGCGTGGTCCGTGACCAACCCTGCAGCAAACCCTCAACAGCATACCACGAGGTAGGAACTTGGATATCTCAAGGCCAGGGAGATGGCCCGGCTCTGACCTTGGGTTTGGAGGACCTGGGAGCCCAGGGCCTCAGTGCATGCCATCCTGCAGCCTGGCCGTAGCCCCAGGCCCACCCCCAGGGGCATCAGGAGCAGAGGAGGGACTGCTGCTGGCAGAGCCCCAGGCACTGCAGCGTCCTAGAGAAATAGGGCGGCGGGGGGGCCAGAAGCTGGGTGGGGGCATCCCCAGGCCTTGTGCCCGGGAGGAGGAGACGGCGTAGGTGCAGGTGCAGAGGCAGCTGGGCAGCCTGAGAGGGGGTCAGCCGGAGGCGTCGGAGGAGAGCTCCATCCAGGACCTGGGGTGGGCGAGGCAGGGCGACTTGAGTAGGAGTTCCAGCCAGGATGGCACCCCGCTCCAGCAGAATTGGGGGTGAGCCTTCCACTCCCTCCCTCCCTCCATGGCCTGAGCTTCTACTCCTTCATTTCCCGCTTCTCTCTCACATACTCACGCACACGGGCACTCCCACTGTGGCCAGGGGTTTGCTGGTCACATCCTGGCACATGTGATGTGTGACTGAGCCAACGGAACGTGAGCCAAAGACTGCGGGCCACTTCCAGGCCGTAAAGCCCCCCTCCACGTGAACCTACCTACAGTGTCTCCCCTCATCTCGCTGGGTCAGCAACAGCCCATGTCTCCCAGTAACTGCTTGGAGCAAAACCCACGCCCATTCATTGCATTTGACATGAGAGGGAAGTGACAGTGTTGAGACTCTGGTCCTGTTTGAGCAGAGGAATCCCAGATTCACAGCGTGGCAGAAGGAGAAGGGTGCCAGCAACCAGTCACCGACTGAACAGATGGGCGGAGTGAATCCCCTAGAGCAGTGTCACTTGCCCGAGGTCACAAGGCAGAACAGGAGCACAGCCAGCCTTGGCAACCCAGAGGGCTGCCCCCAGCCCCAGCCCCGGCGGTGCAGGCAAGTGGGAGTCCCTACCTGTGTCTGGGGCTTGGTGCTCTCAGCTGGCAGCAGAAAGCGCTGGCCTAGGACGGTGCCCACGCGGGCCGAGTGCACGTGGTCCCCGAGCACAGGGCAGAGCTGGAGCGTCATGTGCACCTGCAGCTGCCTGGGGAAGCCTGGGCAGCAGGAGAGACAGGGTGGAGGGTGGGCAGCTGCGAACTTCGCGGGCCCACAGAACCGTGCCTGCCCTTTCCTTTGGAGAAGCACCACCCCGTTGCTAGGTTCCGTGGGCCTGGTCACCTGCGCCCTTGGAGTCCGTCAGATCTCCCCCTGGCCGCCCAGCCAAGTTCTGCTCCAGCACTGGCTGGGGCTCCACCCACCTGTCAGAGGCTGCAGCTGGACGAGGGCACAGCCAGAGCCTGTGGCCACCACGCGGAAGTGGCTGAGGGTCCTCTTGACACTTGCCAGGACGTCCCTCCGGGATGGGGGCTTCACGGGAAGGACCTGTGGTGCCAGCCAAGCTGAGGCGGCTTCACCCAGATCTTCCCTTCCCAACACCTGCCCGCCTGAGGGGACAGCAGAGCCGGCCTCCCGGACCAGCCCCTGACTGCTTGTCAGTGTGATACACCTGGGGCCCCCCTTCCCTGTGTGATACACCTGGGGACCCCCTCTTCCCTGTGTGATACACCTGGGGCCCTCCTCTTCCCTGTGAGTGTGATACACCTGGGGCCCCCTCTTCCCTGTGTGATACACCTGGGGCCCCCCTTCCCTGTGTGATACACCTGGGGGCCCCCCTTTCCCTGTGAGTGTGATACACCTGGGGCCCCCCTTCCCTGTGTGGTACACCTGGGGCCCCCCTCTTCCCTGTGAGTGTGATACACCTGGGGGCCCCCCTCTTCCCTGTGAGTGTGATCCACCTGGGGGCCCCCCTCTTCCCTGTGTGATACACCTGGGGCCCCCCTCTTCCCTGTGAGTGTGATACACCTGGGGGCCCCCCTCTTCCCTGTGAGTGTGATACACCTGGGGCCCCCCTCTTCCCTGTGAGTGTGATACACCTGGGGGCCCCCCTCTTCCCTGTGAGTGTGATACACCTGGGGCCCCCCCTCTTCCCTGTGAGTGTGATACACCTGGGGGCCCCCCTCTTCCCTGTGAGTGTGATACACCTGGGGCCCCTCCTCTTCCCTGTGAGTGTGATACACCTGGGGGCCCCCCTCTTCCCTGTGAGTGTGATACACCTGGGGCCCCCCTCTTCCCTGTGAGTGTGATACACCTGGGGGCCCCCTCTTCCCTGTGAGTGTGATACACCTGGGGGCCCCCTCTTCCCTGTGAGTGTGATACACCTGGGGGCCCCCCCTCTTCCCTGTGTGATACACCTGGGGGCCCCCCTCTTCCCTGTGAGTGTGATACACCTGGGGGCCCCCCTCTTCCCTGTGAGTGTGATACACCTGGGGGCCCCCTCTTCCCTGTGAGTGTGATACACCTGGGGTTCTCCTCTTCCCTGTGTGATACACCTGGGGGCCCCCCTCTTCCCTGTGAGTGTGATACACCTGGGGGCCCCCCCTCTTCCCTGTGTGATACACCTGGGGGCCCCCCCTCTTCCCTGTGAGTGTGATACACCTGGGGGCCCCCCTCTTCCTGTGAGTGTGATACACCTGGGCCCCCCTCTTCCCTGTGAGTGTGATACACCTGGGGGCCCCCCTCTTCCCTGTGAGTGTGATCCACCTGGGGGCCCCCCTCTTCCCTGTGAGTGTGATCCACCTGGGGGCCCCCCTCTTCCCTGTGTGATACACCTGGGGCCCCCCTCTTCCCTGTGAGTGTGATACACCTGGGGGCCCCCCTCTTCCCTGTGAGTGTGATACACCTGGGGGCCCCCCTCTTTCCCTGTGAGTGTGGATACACCTGGGGCCCCCCTCTTCCCTGTGAGTGTGATACACCTGGGGCCCTCCTCTTCCCTGTGAGTTTGATACACCTGAGGTCCCCCCTCTTCCCTGTGTGATCCACCTGGGGCCCCCCTCTTCCCTGTGAGTGTGATCCACCTGGGGCCCCCCTCTTCCCTGTGAGTGTGATACACCTGGGGCCCCCCTCTTCCCTGTGAGTGTGATACACCTGGGGGCCCCCTCTTCCCTGTGAGTGTGATACACCTGGGGGCCCCCTCTTCCCTGTGAGTGTGATACACCTGGGGGCCCCCCCTCTTCCCTGTGTGATACACCTGGGGGCCCCCCTCTTCCCTGTGAGTGTGATACACCTGGGGGCCCCCCTCTTCCCTGTGAGTGTGATACACCTGGGGGCCCCCTCTTCCCTGTGAGTGTGATACACCTGGGGTTCTCCTCTTCCCTGTGTGATACACCTGGGGCCCCCCTCTTCCCTGTGAGTGTGATACACCTGGGGGCCCCCCCTCTTCCCTGTGTGATACACCTGGGGGCCCCCCTCTTCCCTGTGAGTGTGATACACCTGGGGGCCCCCCTCTTCCCTGTGAGTGTGATACACCTGGGGCCCCCCTCTTCCCTGTGAGTGTGATACACCTGGGGCCCCTCCTCTTCCCTGTGAGTGTGATACACCTGGGGGCCCCCCTCTTCCCTGTGAGTGTGATACACCTGGGGGCCCCCCTCTTCCCTGTGAGTGTGATACACCTGGGGCCCCCCTCTTCCCTGTGAGTGTGATACACCTGGGGCCCCTCCTCTTCCCTGTGAGTGTGATACACCTGGGGCCCCCCTCTTCCCTGTGAGTGTGATACACCTGGGGCCCCCCTCTTCCCTGTGTGATACACCTGGGGCCCCCCTCTTCCCTGTGAGTGTGATACACCTGGGGGCCCCCCTCTTCCCTGTGTGATCCACCTGGGGTCCCCCTCTTCCCTGTGAGTGTGATACACCTGGGGGCCCCCCTCTTCCCTGTGAGTGTGATACACCTGGGGCCCCCCTCTTCCCTGTGAGTGTGATACACCTGGGGGCCCCCCTCTTCCCTGTGAGTGTGATACACCTGGGGCCCCCCTCTTCCCTGTGAGTGTGATACACCTGGGGGCCCTCCTCTTCCCTGTGAGTGTGATACACCTGGGGCCCCCCTTCCCTGTGTGGTACACCTGGGGCCCCCCTCTTCCCTGTGAGTGTGATACACCTGGGGGCCCCCCTCTTCCCTGTGAGTGTGATCCACCTGGGGGCCCCCCTCTTCCCTGTGTGATACACCTGGGGCCCCCCTCTTCCCTGTGAGTGTGATACACCTGGGGGCCCCCCTCTTCCCTGTGAGTGTGATACACCTGGGGCCCCCCTCTTCCCTGTGAGTGTGATACACCTGGGGGCCCCCCTCTTCCCTGTGAGTGTGATACACCTGGGGCCCCCCTCTTCCCTGTGAGTGTGATACACCTGGGGGCCCCCCTCTTCCCTGTGAGTGTGATACACCTGGGGCCCCTCCTCTTCCCTGTGAGTGTGATACACCTGGGGGCCCCCCTCTTCCCTGTGAGTGTGATACACCTGGGGCCCCCCTCTTCCCTGTGAGTGTGATACACCTGGGGGCCCCCTCTTCCCTGTGAGTGTGATACACCTGGGGGCCCCCTCTTCCCTGTGAGTGTGATACACCTGGGGGCCCCCCCTCTTCCCTGTGTGATACACCTGGGGGCCCCCCTCTTCCCTGTGAGTGTGATACACCTGGGGCCCCCTCTTCCCTGTGAGTGTGATACACCTGGGGGCCCCCTCTTCCCTGTGAGTGTGATACACCTGGGGTTCTCCTCTTCCCTGTGTGATACACCTGGGGGCCCCCCTCTTCCCTGTGAGTGTGATACACCTGGGGGCCCCCCCTCTTCCCTGTGTGATACACCTGGGGGCCCCCCTCTTCCCTGTGAGTGTGATACACCTGGGGGCCCCCCTCTTCCCTGTGAGTGTGATACACCTGGGGCCCCCCTCTTCCCTGTGAGTGTGATACACCTGGGGGCCCCCCTCTTCCCTGTGAGTGTGATCCACCTGGGGGCCCCCCTCTTCCCTGTGAGTGTGATCCACCTGGGGGCCCCCCTCTTCCCTGTGTGATACACCTGGGGCCCCCCTCTTCCCTGTGAGTGTGATACACCTGGGGGCCCCCCTCTTCCCTGTGAGTGTGATACACCTGGGGGCCCCCCTCTTCCCTGTGAGTGTGATACACCTGGGGCCCCCCTCTTCCCTGTGAGTGTGATACACCTGGGGCCCTCCTCTTCCCTGTGTGATACACCTGAGGTCCCCCCTCTTCCCTGTGTGATCCACCTGGGGCCCCCCTCTTCCCTGTGAGTGTGATCCACCTGGGGGCCCCCCTCTTCCCTGTGAGTGTGATACACCTGGGGCCCCCCTCTTCCCTGTGAGTGTGATACACCTGGGGGCCCCCTCTTCCCTGTGAGTGTGATACACCTGGGGGCCCCCTCTTCCCTGTGAGTGTGATACACCTGGGGGCCCCCCCTCTTCCCTGTGTGATACACCTGGGGGCCCCCCTCTTCCCTGTGAGTGTGATACACCTGGGGGCCCCCCTCTTCCCTGTGAGTGTGATACACCTGGGGGCCCCCTCTTCCCTGTGAGTGTGATACACCTGGGTTCTCCTCTTCCCTGTGTGATACACCTGGGGCCCCCCTCTTCCCTGTGAGTGTGATACACCTGGGGGCCCCCCCTCTTCCCTGTGTGATACACCTGGGGGCCCCCCTCTTCCCTGTGAGTGTGATACACCTGGGGGCCCCCCTCTTCCCTGTGAGTGTGATACACCTGGGGGCCCCCCTCTTCCCTGTGAGTGTGATACACCTGGGGCCCCTCCTCTTCCCTGTGAGTGTGATACACCTGGGGGCCCCCCTCTTCCCTGTGAGTGTGATACACCTGGGGGCCCCCCTCTTCCCTGTGAGTGTGATACACCTGGGGCCCCCCTCTTCCCTGTGAGTGTGATACACCTGGGGCCCCTCCTCTTCCCTGTGAGTGTGATACACCTGGGGCCCCCCTCTTCCCTGTGAGTGTGATACACCTGGGGCCCCCCTCTTCCCTGTGTGATACACCTGGGGCCCCCCTCTTCCCTGTGAGTGTGATACACCTGGGGGCCCCCCTCTTCCCTGTGTGATACACCTGGGGCCCCCCTCTTCCCTGTGAGTGTGATACACCTGGGGGCCCCCCTCTTCCCTGTGAGTGTGATACACCTGGGGCCCCCCCTTCCCTGTGAGTGTGATACACCTGGGGGCCCTCCTCTTCCCTGTGAGTGTGATACACCTGGGGCCCCTCCTCTTCCCTGTGAGTGTGATACACCTGGGGGCCCCCCTCTTCCCTGTGAGTGTGATACACCTGGGGCCCCCCTCTTCCCTGTGAGTGTGATACACCTGGGGGCCCCCTCTTCCCTGTGAGTGTGATACACCTGGGGGCCCCCTCTTCCCTGTGAGTGTGATACACCTGGGGCCCCCCCTCTTCCCTGTGTGATACACCTGGTGGCCCCCTCTTCCCTGTGAGTGTGATACACCTGGGGGCCCCCCTCTTCCCTGTGAGTGTGATACACCTGGGGGCCCCCTCTTCCCTGTGAGTGTGATACACCTGGGTTCTCCTCTTCCCTGTGTGATACACCTGGGGGCCCCCCTCTTCCCTGTGAGTGTGATACACCTGGGGGCCCCCCCTCTTCCCTGTGTGATACACCTGGGGGCCCCCCTCTTCCCTGTGAGTGTGATACACCTGGGGGCCCCCCTCTTCCCTGTGAGTGTGATACACCTGGGGCCCCCCTCTTCCCTGTGAGTGTGATACAATTGGGGGCCCCCCTCTTCCCTGTGAGTGTGATCCACCTGGGGGCCCCCCTCTTCCCTGTGAGTGTGATCCACCTGGGGGCCCCCCTCTTCCCTGTGTGATACACCTGGGGCCCCCCTCTTCCCTGTGAGTGTGATACACCTGGGGGCCCCCTCTTCCCTGTGGAGTGTGATACACCTGGGGGCCCCCCTCTTCCCTGTGAGTGTGATACACCTGGGGCCCCCCTCTTCCCTGTGAGTGTGATACACCTGGGGCCCTCCTCTTCCCTGTGTGATACACCTGAGGTCCCCCCTCTTCCCTGTGTGATCCACCTGGGGGCCCCCCTCTTCCCTGTGAGTGTGATACACCTGGGGGCCCCCTCTTCCTGTGAGTGTGATACACCTGGGGGCCCCCTCTTCCCTGTGAGTGTGATACACCTGGGCCCCCCCTCTTCCCTGTGTGATACACCTGGGGGCCCCCCTCTTCCCTGTGAGTGTGATACACCTGGGGGCCCCCCTCTTCCCTGTGAGTGTGATACACCTGGGGGCCCCCTCTTCCCTGTGAGTGTGATACACCTGGGTTCTCCTCTTCCCTGTGTGATACACCTGGGGCCCCCCTCTTCCCTGTGAGTGGTGATACACACTGGGGCCCCCCCTCTTCCCTGTGTGATACACCTGGGGGCCCCCCTCTTCCCTGTGAGTGTGATACAACCTGGGGGCCCCCGTCTTCCCTGTGAGTGTGATACACCTGGGGCCCCCCTCTTCCCTGTGAGTGTGATACACCTGGGGGCCCCCCTCTTCCCTGTGAGTTGATACACCTGGGTCCCCTCCTCTGCCCTGTGAGTGTGATACACCTGGGGGCCCCCCTCTTCCCTGTGAGTGTGATACACCTGGGGGCCCCCCTCTTGCCCTGTGAGTGTGATACACCTGGGGCCCCCCTCTTCCTTTGAGTGTGATACACCTGGGGCCCCTCCTCTTCCCTGTGAGTGTGATACACCTGGGGCCCCCCTCTTCCCTGTGAGTGTGATACACCTGGGGCCCCCCTCTTCCCTGTGTGATACACCTGGGGCCCCCCTCTTCCCTGTGAGTGTGATACACCTGGGGGCCCCCCTCTTCCCTGTGTGATACACCTGGGGCCCCCCTCTTCCCTGTGAGTGTGATACACCTGGGGGCCCCCCTCTTCCCTGTGAGTGTGATACACCTGGGGCCCCCCTCTTCCCTGTGAGTGTGATACACCTGGGGGCCCTCCTCTTCCCTGTGAGTGTGATACACCTGGGGGCCCCCCTCTTCCCTGTGAGTGTGATACACCTGGGGGCCCCCTCTTCCCTGTGAGTGTGATACACCTGGGGTCCTCCTCTTCCCTGTGTGATACACCTGGGGGCCCCCCTCTTCCCTGTGAGTGTGATACACCTGGGGCCCCCCTCTTCCCTGTGAGTGTGATCCACCTGGGGCCCCCCTCTTCCCTGTGTGATACACCTGGGGCCCCCCTCTTCCCTGTGAGTGTGATACACCTGGGGCCCCCCTCTTCCCTGTGAGTGTGATACACCTGGGGGCCCCCTCTTCCCTGTGAGTGTGATACACCTGGGGGCCCCCCTCTTCCCTGTGAGTGTGATACACCTGGGGCCCCTCCTCTTCCCTGTGAGTGTGATACACCTGGGGCCCCCCTCTTCCCTGTGAGTGTGATACACCTGGGGGCCCCTCCTCTTCCCTGTGAGTGTGATACACCTGGGGCCCCCCTCTTCCCTGTGAGTGTGATACACCTGGGGGTCCCCCTCTTCCCTGTGAGTGTGATACACCTGGGGCCCCCCTCTTCCCTGTGAGTGTGATACACCTGGGGCCCCCCTCTTCCCTGTGAGTGTGATACACCTGGGGCCCCCCTCTTCCCTGTGAGTGTGATACACCTGGGGCCCCTCCTCTTCCCTGTGAGTGTGATCCACCTGGGGGCCCCCCTCTTCCCTGTGAGTGTGATCCACCTGGGGCCCCTCCTCTTCCCTGTGAGTGTGATACACCTGGGGCCCCTCCTCTTCCCTGTGTGATACACCTGGGGCCCCCCTCTTCCCTGTGTGATACACCTGGGGTCCCCCTCTTCCCTGTGTGATCCACCTGGGGGCCCCCCTCCTCCCTGTGTGATACACCTGGGGCCCCCCTCTTCCCTGTGAGTGTGATCCACCTGGGGGCCCCCCTCTTCCCTGTGTGATCCACCTGGGGGCCCCCTCTTCCCTGTGAGTGTGATCCACCTGGGGGCCCCCTCTTCCCTGTGAGTGTGATACACCTGGGGGCCCCCTCTTCCCTGTGAGTGTGATACACCTGGGGGCCCCCCTCTTCCCTGTGTGATCCACCTGGGGTCCCCCTCTTCCCTGTGAGTGTGATACACCTTGGGCCCCCCTCTTCCCTGTGAGTGTGATCCACCTGGGGCCCCCCTCTTCCCTGTGAGTGTGATACACCTGGGGGCCCCCTCTGCCCTGTGGATACACCTTGGGCCCCCCTCTTCCCTGTGAGTGTGATACACCTGGGGCCCCCCTCTTCCCTGTGAGTGTGATACACCTGGGGCCCCTCCTCTTCCCTGTGTGATACACCTGGGGCCCCCCTCTTCCCTGTGTGATACACCTGGGGTCCCCCTCTTCCCTGTGAGTGTGATCCACCTGGGGGCCCCCCTCCTCCCTGTGTGATACACCTGGGGCCCCCCTCTTCCCTGTGAGTGTGATACACCTGGGGGCCCCCCTCTTCCCTGTGTGATCCACCTGGGGTCCCCCTCTTCCCTGTGAGTGTGATACACCTTGGGCCCCCCTCTTCCCTGTGAGTGTGATCCACCTGGGGCCCCCCTCTTCCCTGTGTGATCCACCTGGGGCCCCCCTCTTCCCTGTGAGTGTGATACACCTGGGGCCCCCTCTTCCCTGTGTGGTACACCTGGGGGGACGCCTCCTCTGTGATACACCTGGGGGGACCCCTCCTCTTCCCTGCCTGCTTGTCAGTGCAAGACATCTCGAAGGACCCCTCCTCGCTGCCCACGTGCTCACTCACGAGATCAACCCCGTCAGCGCGCTCCAGCTTCAGCGCTGCCTGGATCTCTCCCTCGGGTGTGGCTGGGATCCCATCAGTGACGGCCCTGGGAAAGAGGCGGGAGGAGGTCTCCAAGCTGCTCCCGGAACCCTCCCCACGGCCCTGGGACTGCCAGCACCTCTCACCAGTAGGTGGCTGTGGGTCTGTGGGCTCTCCGTGAGTGCGTGAAGAACTCGTGCAGGCGGCTTGCTGTCTGGGCACAGCTGGAGAGGAGTACAAGCCCAGAGATCTCCCTGGAGGAAGGGGGCCAGTCACACAAATTCCCCTGGGCTCAGCCCCAGCCATGAGACCCCAAGCAGGAACACTGACCGAAGGCCAAACAGTAACGCCAGGACCATAGGCCAGACGTCGTCCTGACCAACAAGGCTAGGTAGCTGACCGTGCTGCCGTTCTCCCCGGCCCCCAGGGAGCTCGGAGCTCGGAGCCCGTGCTCCAACACCGAGCACCAAGTGCTGCGTGTCTACCATGAAGCAGACATTCGCCCAGGAAACTGATCTGTGTGAACTCAGTCAGATCCCTGCAAACACGCAGGTGAGTCTGCAGAATTCCAGATACTTCTCCAACGCCATCTCTGAGGGCAGACGGAACACCGAGGATCGGCTAATAATGCCTGCGTGACGACTGCACAGCGAGCACAGTGTGGTATCCACGTTCCGCGCTTCACAGAGCTGACGCTCGGGAGGCTCAGGTCCACTGACCGCAGGTCTCAGCCCGCCCCACCCTCCTGTCACCCCCACTCACTTCCCAGGCGCTTGGACGACCTGGAATTCCGACTCCCCAAGCCCCAGGGACCTGCTCAGCTCTGGCAGCACCGAGTGCAATGTCAGCTCTCCTGGTTTTCCTGGAAAAAGAGACGGGAAGGTGCGAGGTGCTCCCACAGGCCCAAGCTCCGTCCCACAGCTCCCCTCCTCTGCCCTGCGCCCCCTCAGACACGCAAACCCCTCTCCCTGCATGCCCTTCCCGTGCGCCCTGGCCGTACCTGTCACCGGCAGACCCTGTGGCTTGTTGAGTGTCACCAGAGGTCCTGAAACAACATGAACACCAAATGCAGACGCCAGGGTGCACATTAGCACTCGGTCCCAAAAGGACCCGCAGACGTGAGTGCTGGGCCCACACATGCTCCAAGCCCACTGCCACCGTGGCCTCTGCACGTGCTGTGCCCTGTCCCGGATCCTGAGGCCTGTCACGTCACGACACAGAGCAGCCTGGCTCCCCACACTAAGGCCGTGACCCCATACAGCCATGTCTCCGTAGCAGCCCGGTGACCACTGGTCACTCCCTTAGTTTCTGAGTAACCCTGCTCCCACTAGCACGCAGGCTCCCTGAGGGTGGGACCCACAGCGCTCTCAGCATGGCGTGGCCTGCCGTGAACACAGCCCATGATCAGCACCTGAGGAAATGAACAAGGCACCAAACGAGGAAATCGGTTTCCCTGAAGCCACACAGCAAGCTGACCCCTGAACGTACACGGGGCTGGCGTTGTGGCACAGCAGGTTAAGCCGCTGCCTGCAATGTGGGACCCCACATAGGAGTGTGGGTTCAAGTCCCAGCCTCCTGCCAGTGTGTGTGGAAAAGCAGAAGATGGCTCAAGTACTTGGGACCCTGCCACCCATGTATGAGACCAGGATGGAGTTTCTGGCTCCTAGCTTTGTCCTGGCTTAGCCCAAGCCATTACTGACAACTGGGGAGTAAACCAGCAAACGAAAGAGCATCTCCCCCCACCCCCATCACTCTGCATTTCAAATCTAAAAAGCAGAATCATCAATAATAAATGTGCAAATCCTGTTTTTTAAGATTTATTTATTTGAAAAAGTGAGTACTTCCATCCATTGGCTCATTGCCCAAACTGGCTGGGCCAATCCGAAGCCAGGAGCCAGGAGCTTCCGGGTCTCCCACATGGGTGCAGGGTCCCAAGCGCTTGGACCACTCTCTGCAGCTTTCCCAGGCCACAGCAGAGAAGTGGAGCAGCCGGGACGCGAACTCGCGCTTTACTGGCTCCTTCCCAGCACCAGGCCCTAAAGCTCGTGTTTTCTGCATCAATAAACTGCGTGACTATTACAGCGATTGCAATTCGGGAGTGCCAGCCGCGTGCAAGGCTCTCCACACTCTGCACTCTTTGCCCTCTTACCGCCCCTCCAACGCCCCAGGATGCGGAGGCACAGCCAGGCTGCGACCTGTGCCTGCAGCCTCACCTTTCCGGTCCACCACGGCCGCCCTCAGCACGTCCACCAGCTGCTCCCGGCTGAGGGTCTCGGACGGCAGCAGGCCCGGGAAAGGCTGGTCCCCAGGCGGCCGCGACCTGCAAAGGATGCGGCTGAGCGGCAGGGGCGTCGCTCACCTCCCCCGATGCCCGCGTCCCGGCCCTCCCGCGCCTGCCGCCTCTGACGCGCGCCCCGAGCGCCGGGCCGAGCTCCCCGCGTGTCCCCGTCCCGCGGGGCCGCACTTCTCAGCCGAGACTCGGGGCGAGCCGGGACACACGATCGCGACCCCGCCCCAGCCTCCCTCCTACACAGAGCAGGGTCTGTGGCAATCACCGGGCCTTGGCGCCAAAGCCTGCATCCCGGGTCGCCGCGCGCGCCCCTGTCCATCGCCGCCAGCCGCCCCGGACGCGGCCCAAGGCCCGGGCGCCGCTCATCGCCCGAGCCGGGACAGTGCGCATGCGCGCCCCGAAGGCGGCCCCGCGGCCCCTCGCCGCGCGCTGATTGGTCAGCTCTGACCGTCCCTCGGCCGAGCGAGCCGGGCGCCGTTTTCTGACGGTCCCGGAGTCCCGGCGTTCGCGTGAGCACGTGCTGTCAGGGAGGCTGAGGAACCGGAGCACCGGGATTCACCCGCGGCCGGAGGGCCTGACTTAGGACCAAGCCGGGGTGAGGGGTCAAGGTTGCCCGGCCGCCGCCCTGCCGCGTCCGTGAGGTCAGGGATGGATAGAGCCACAGCCGCTAGGCGAGCGACGCGGGGGAGGCCAGGGCTCCGGGCGCTTTTCCGGGCAAAGCCTGGACTGTTTGTGGTGAGGCCTGCAGGGAAAATGAGCCTCGTGGGTCGCGAGTTAAGAGTGTGTTTAATCCACTTAGATGCTTCCTTAAGAGGAAAGATGGCCGCCGGGAGCCGGCTTCCGCATCCGGGTCTCCGGCGGGGGGCGGAGCTCCGGGTCCCGGCCGCAGGAGGCGGGGTCTCGGGTCGGGGCGCTCGGGGCCGGGTGGGCGCTGGCCCGGGTCTGGCGGCCCCTCCCCGGCTTCTGCAGTGCTGACCCCGCATTCGCGTGCGGGAAGTGACCGCCTAGACACAGGCCCGCGGCGGGAAGTTGACCAGGGGGACGAGACCTGGCGCCACACCCCGCCGCCATCTTGGTCACGCCATGGCGGTGCTCGGCCGCCGGGGGGAACTGGTTCACCACGGCCCGTGTCGCGCGCCGTGGGTTAAGCCGCTGCCTGATAGCGGCACGCCGCAGGGGAGTGCCCGGTGCCGCCCCGGCTGCTCGCTTCCCCTCCAGCTCCCTGCTGTGGTCAGGGAAACTGGACGGTGACCCAAGTGCTCGGGCCCCTGCGCTCACGTCGGGGACCCAGAAAAAACTCGTGGCGTCCGCGTTCTCCCTCTCCTAACCTCTAACTTCTCTCTGTAGCTCTGCCTTTCAGAGTAATACTCTTTAAAGATTTGTTTATTACAGACACAATCTTCCACCTGCTCGTTAGCGCCCCAGGTGGCCACAGCACTGGTCCAAACCAAGCCAGCAGCTTCATCTGAGTCTCCTGCATGGGTGGCAGGGGCCAAGCACTTGGACCATTTTCCACTGCTTTTCTCAGGCCGTCGGCAGGGAGCTGGATCGGAAGTGGAGCAGCCGGGACTCAAACCGGCGCCCGCATGGGATGCTGGCACTGCAATGCCACAATAAATCTTTTTTAAAATGTGAAAGATAGAGCCGGCGCCGTGGCTCAATAGGCTAATCCTCCACCTTGCGGCGCCGGCACACCGGGTTCTAGTCCCGGTCGGGGCGCCGGATTCTGTCCCGGTTGCCCCTCTTCCAGGCCAGCTCTCTGCTATGGCCAGGGAGTGCAGTGGAGGATGGCCCAGGTGCTTGGGCCCTGCACCCCATGGGAGACCAGGAAAAAGCACCTGGCTCCTGGCTCCTGCCATCGGATCAGCACGCTGCGCCGGCTGCAGCGGCGGCCATTGGAGGGTGAACCAACGGCAAGGGAAGACCTTTCTCTCTCTGTCTCTCTCTCACTGTCCACTCTGCCTGTCAAAAAAAATAAATAAATAAAAAAAAAATAAATAAATAAAATGTGAAAGATAAGTTTATTTTGATGTAAGAACAGTTTTAAGTGTTTTTTTTTTTTTAAAGATTTTATTTAATTGAGAGGTAGAGATACTGACAGAGGGAGAGAGACGGAAGAGGTCTTTCATCTGCTGGTTCTTTTCCCAGATGGCCTCAATGGCCAGAGCTGGGCCAATCCGGAGCCAGGAGCTTCTTCTGGGTCTCCTGTCCTTGCAGCAGGGGTCTAAGCACTCGGGCCGTCTTCCGCTGCTTTCCCACGCACATTAGCAGGGAGCTGGATCGAAAGAGGAGCAGCCAGGACATGAACTGGCGTCCACATGGGATGCCAGTGCTACAGGCTGAGATGTAGCCCCCTGCACCACAGCACGGGCCCCAGTCTTTGAAAATTCACCAGGAGGAAAAGGTGGGAAGACAGAGGTGGGGGGGCAGAGTGAAAAAGTAAGAGAAATAACTATAGAAGCAAAGAACAGAATGGGTTCTGTCCTACGATTAGAGTATGTAAAAGTTACAGGCAAGCTGTGTGCTTTTTAAAGATTTATTTTTTTGCAAGGCAGAGTTACAGAGGAGAGATGGAGAGTGCCCATTCACACACCAGATGGCCTCCAGTGGCGGTGCTGTACCAGGCAGAAGCCAGGAGCCTGGTGCACTCCCCAGATGGCCCAGACATCCAGGACTGAGCCAGGAGCCAGAGCTGCTTCTGGATCTCCCACGTGGGCAGCAGGGCCCCAAGCACTTGAGCCAACCTTCGCCGCTTTCTCAGACGTGGTGGCAAGGAGTTGGATGGGAAGTGGAGCGGCCAGGATGGTGTTGCAGGCCAGGGCTTTAACCCACTGAGCCGCAGCACTGGGGCCTGCAAGGCTGTATCCTTTGTGTGTTTAATTCACTGACGGCACTAGGATTTCTAATTTGTTGTTTCCGTTAGCGATAACCTACCAATAAAGCTAAATCCATACATGGGCAAGTGGCTAAATCGGTTGTAAAACATCTGTCCCACGGAGCCGTGGATTGTAGAGCAGGCAGGTCTCTGTGAAGCTGTGAATCACTCCATATTCAAACATTAAAGGGATGCTGTGAGTCAGATATGAGTGTGTGGATGTGATGTCTGTTTGTGCATTATAGTGATACATTTCTCTGCTTTTGAAGGGATACACAAATGGATGAGTTTGCATCCAGCGATGGAATAAGGCCGAGGAAGACAAGTAATCATGTTTACTCTTTGGAACTGCTTATATTTGTTCCATCGTTGATCAATTTCTTTGCATGCATACACAGAGACAGAGAGTTTAAAAATCTGTCAAGAGGCAGGTTTGGGGCTCGAGGTTACGATTCTTTCCTCCTTTATCCAAATGCCTGGATTTGAGTCCTGGTGCCGCCCTATTCCAGCTTCCTACGAATGTGCACCCTGATAGGCAGCCATGATGGCTGGGTTGAGGGAGACCTGGATGGAGTTCCTGGCTCCTCACCTCAGCCTGGCCCAGCCTCGCTGTGTAGGCATTTGAGGAGTGGTCCAGCAGATGGAAGATCTGTCTCTGCTTCTCTCTCCCTATAACTCTGCCTTTCAAATTAATAAATCTTTTTTTAAATGTAAAAGATAAGTTTATTTTGATGTGAAAACATGTTTTAAATAGTATTTTTTTAAAGATTTTATTTACTTGAGAGGCACGGTTATAGACAGAAGGAGAGACAGAAAGGTCTTCCATCCACTGGCTCACTCAGGTGGCCCCAATGGCTGGAGCCGGGCCAGTCTGAAGCCAGGAGCCAGGAGCTTCTTAGGTCTCCAAAGTGGGTACAGCGACCCAAGAGCTTGGACTGTCTTCCACTGCTTTCCCAGGCCATAAGCAGAGAGAGAGATTGGAAGAGGAAAATCCATTCGTATGATGGATCTTAAAAAACTCATGGAAAAGATATTATGAAAAAGCTATGCATGCATTTCAAAATGTATGTGCACCAAATCTGAAATTCCGTATTCCATGAGTTTTTCTGAAGTGTCCTTGGGTTGGTGGGACTGGTGAGAAGTTTGGAGAAAAAGTGTTTTGTTTGATCTTTCTGGGGCTCAGCTGGGAGGGTGTGCCTGTGCCTTGTCGGGCCCCACGCCTGTCCGTGACTGCCAACTGGAATAGCAACAGAAGGCCTGAGGCCAAGGGCTGGGGCAGAGCCTCCTAACTACGGCGACCTCTCCCCTGCCGCTCCCTCACTGCACCCCTCCCTGGTCCTCCTGAGACTCCGGCTCTCTCACCCTGCTCCTTGGAACTTTTCCTCCCCAGTCCCCAGCCACAGCAGAGGCTGCAGTTTCCCGTTCATTGTCCCTTCCGCTTCCACTTTTGATCTCTGAGCCCCTCATCCCGCAGAGCAGAGAGGGCTCAAGACCCAGAGACCAGTCATGACTTCTGACGCTGGATCTCAGGAGAAGGCGGCCTGGCATAGATGCCAAGCCCTCCATGGTCCTCACTGTAGCTCAGCTGTCAGAACTCGTCAGGAGGAGCAGGTCAGCTGCAGCTCCAGCCCAGCTTTTGTGCTGAAGGAAACATCACATCTGCGTGCCAGGAGGCCCAGCCCGTGAAGCCCAACTCCCGGAGCAGGGAGCCCAGAATAGCAGGAGCCCTTCGGCCTCCGCGGGCTCTGGCAGCTTCCCAGCCAGCAGCGTTGGTAACCCAGACCTGTGTCCTGGAATCGACTACTCCAAATAGGCTTCCGAGCAGGAGTTATGCAATGACGCAGTATTTGGGTTGAGAGCCCCAGTCTGGTTTGCGTTGCCTGGTGCTGCGGCTTCCCAGCTCGCAGGCAGTGCTCTCGAGCTCCTCCGGCTGCCAGCAGCTCCTAGTTGACCCCGGGAACGCAAATGGGAGGCCAGGGGAGCCGGGGATGGAACACTTCCCCACCTAGACACCTAGAGGGTTATTACCAAACGTGACCCTAAGGCATTACAAGAGCGAGGCAAACAGGGCACAGCAGTTAGAGCCGCAGCTTGGATGTTTCTAGCCCACGTCCTGGTGCCTGGCACTGAGTCCTGCCCCCTCGGTTTTGTTTTAAAGATTTATTTGTTTGAAAGGCAGAGTTACAGAGGAGGAGAGAGAGAACAAGATCTTCACTCCACTGGTTCATTCCCCAAATGGTTGTAACTGCCAGAGCTGGGCCCATCTGAAGCCAGGAGCCAGGAGCTTCTGCCTCTCCCATGTGGGTGCAGGGACCCAAGCACTTTGGCCATCTTCTGCTGCTTACCCAGGCACATTAGCAGGAAGCTGGGTCAGAAGTGGAGCAGCCAGGAATCAACCTGGTGCCCCCAGGAGATGCTGGCATCGCAGGCAGTTGGCTTTACCGCTGGTGTGCACCCTGGAAAGCAGCAGCTGACGGCTCAGTCACTTGGGTTCTTCCCACCTACATAGGCGATCCAGTTAGAGTTTCTGGCTCCTGGCTTCAGCCCAGCCCCAGCATGGAAGATCACTTGCTGTCTCTGTTGCTCTGCCTTTCAAATAAACCAGATCAATAAATAAAGAGCAATGAGAAGAGCACTTGATCTTCTCCCTCCAATCAAATCTCTTCTGATACGCAAATGTTCTTGGGAATTGGCCCTTAATGGTATTGACGAGTAGAGGGTCTGTGTAAGTCTCAATTCTGTGGAATCTAGTTCCAAATCAACTGCTGATTGTGCACAGTGCTGTTTCGTGTGACCCCGTGACCCCATGCAATGAGGAATGGCTCCATGGTGGAGTCTTGTCTTCCCTGTCCTTCTCCAAGCTTCCTGGGAGAAGCCCACCCCCACCCCAGAGCACACGGGCAAAGACAAGAAATCCTCAAAAATAATTTATTGTGAAATCTTCAGTATCCTACGCTGGTGGGCTGGACCGCTCAGGAGTAGGCAGCGTCCTCACAATGCAGAAGGGAAGATGTGATTAAGGGGCAGGCTTAGTGACCCGGGTCGGGTTGGTGACGCTGCCACAGCCAGGAGCCCGGAGTTCTGCTGGCCGGCCCACTCCAGGCGCCCAGCCCTTCCTGCTGCTTCCTCAGTCAGGCCTGTGCACAGAGGAGGGCAGTGTGGGGAGGTGAGAAGCTGGACAGCTGCCAGGCTTGTGTGTGTGACCCACGGAGCATGGGGACCGCAGGGAGTGCTGGTGGGGGACCTCCGGGCCCAGCACCCTCAGTGCAGTATCCTCAGGCAGGCAGGCAGCAGGGCTGAGGCCCTGCCCGTGGGCGGCTGCCCATCCTCCTCGGCGTCCAGGAGCCTCTGCATGTACCAGGAGGTGCCGAGCAGCATGTGGCCTGTGGCCCGCATGCCGAGGAGGGCCCAGCGCAGGGCTTCCCTGGGTGGAATGAGAAGGCACTCAGGTCAAAAACAGGACAGGTCGCTCCCTGTGCCCCTGACCTGTGCCCCCCGCACTGGCCTGAAGGAACTGGTGATGCATTAGTTTCCTTCAAAAGAAATAAACCCTGCTCCATGCACGGAGGAACCCAGAGCCAAAGAAGCCGGCACAAGGGATGGGGTGTAGGATTCCACGTAGGTGAGGGCCCTGGAACAGGCAGAGGGGTAGAGACCGAGGGAGCAGCGAGGTTACCAGGGTCTCTAGGGAGGGGGAGGGGCAGTGTTACTTCATAGGTACGGGGTTGCTGTCTGGGATGATGAAAATGTTCTGGGAACAGACAGTTGCACAAGGTTGTGAATGCACTTAATACCACTAAACTATAGCCTTAAAAACGGTTGAGATACGGATGAGTGTTCAGCCCAAGGATTAAGACGCTTATGTCCCCTGTGAAAGTGCCTGGATTCGAATCCCAACGCTGCTCCTGATTCCAGCTACCTCCTAATGCACACTCTGGGAGGCAGCAGGAGACAGGTACTGACAGGTGCTTGGGCTCCTGCCCTTTCGGAGGGAGACCTGGACGGGCTCCTGGCTCCTGACTTCAGCCTGGCCCAGCCCCAGGTGTTGCAGGCATTTAGGGAATGAACCAGTAGATGGGAGGTTGCTCTGTTTCTGTCTCCGCCAACTGTCTCTGTCTCTGCCTTTCAAATAAATAAAATTATATATATATATATATAAGTATATATGTTTGTGGGAAATGTGTATTATGAAAAAAACATAAATTGATTTTCAAATTCCTGTGCCAAAGTGAAGTTATCTTTTAATTCATTTTCACAGCATTTTGAAGAACCTTATATTTTACTGTAATTTTTATTTTTAAAAATATTTATTTATTTGTAAGGCAGAGTCACAGAGAGTGAAGGAGAGGCAGAGAAAGAGAGAGAAAGGTCTTCTGACTGTTGACTCACTCCCCCAAATGGCAGCAGTAGCCAGGGCTGTGCTAGGCTGACGCCAGGAGCTTCATCTGGGTCTCCCACATGGGTGCAGGGCCCAGACACTTGGGCCATCCTCAGCTGCTTTCCCAGGAGCATTAGCAGGGAGGTGGGTCAGAAGTGGAGCATCCGGGACGCGAACCTGCACCCATTCAGGATGCCAGCATCACAGGCGGCGGCCTACGCTGTTTCGCCACAACGCCGGCCCCTACAATAATTTTTAAAAACCTAGTAGCCCCACTAAGTCAGTGGGCTGACTCCAGCTTATTATTTTTAAAACTTCTGTTTATGAATAAATTTTATTTGCTAGAGAGACAGAGATCTCCCGCTAACCCCTGCTGACTCACTTGACGATGCGCTTGGCCCCGTGGCAGTGCAGGTCGTAGGAGAGCGAGTACGTGTCGTAGAGAGTTGCCTTCACGTTCAGGCAGCCAATGAAGTCCTGAGGGTGCAGCTTGTACAAGTCAAAGGTGACACGGGCCACATCGATCTTCTTGGTGGGCTTCTGGGAGCAGGAGAGAGTGCCCAGTGCTCTACAGAAAGACACCCCTCGGGGACCTCCCCCGGCTCCCAGTTCTCTGCCCTGCAGCAGTGGGCCCTCACCTGCTCTGGCGGAGGCTGCCACTGCTGCCCCTTCTGGAGGACCATGAACACTGTATCCCCTGAGAGGGCCTGGAAGTACTCTTCTGTGTCCACAATTGTGCCATCTTCCTCCAGCACCAGCAAGAAGGACTTGTCCGCCAGCCTCAGGGCGTCCCACACCTGGGAGACAAGATGACAGATGCTTTGACGTCCCCACGGAGCCACAGAGCTTGCATGAGGAAGACTCCCAGCAATCAGCATGGCTGGCAGAAAACCAGTGGGCTGGGCCCGGGCCAGGCTCTCGGCGGTGGGATCACCCCCCAATGACTGACGGACCTCCCGGTGCCTGGCTTCAGGATTGCAGTCTAGGTCGGTGCTGTCTGGGGGTGGGGGTGGGGGTGGTCATATAGGTAACACTGTATTGAGATGCAGTTTCTGTACCGTAAAATTCATCCTTGTAAACTGTACAATTCAGTGGTTTTTAGTTTGTTCACCGAGTTGTGCAACCATCACCACTGCCTAACTTCAAAACATTTTCACCACCCCAAAAAGAGACCTGGAGCCCATCAGCGTTGTCCAGCCCATGGCAAACGCCCCTTTACTGTCTGTCACTGTGGACTTGCCTGTTCTGGCCACTTCACAGCAGAGAATCATACAACGTGGATCTTTTTAGAATGGCTTCTTTTGTCTTTTTAAACTTACTTTCACTTTATTTGAAAGACGGAAATAGACCAAGAGAGATCCTCCATCATTCCCCAAATGCCCCCAGTCGTCAGGACTGGGCCAGGCTGTTGTCAGGAGCCAGGAATTAATTCTGGGTCTCCCTTGTGGGCGGCAGGGACTTGTACTTGAGCCATCCCCTGCTGCTTCCCAAGTGTGTATCAGCAGGAAGCTGGGTCAGAAGTAAAGGAGCCAGCACTTGAACCGGGAACTCAGACATGAAATGCAGGCCTCTCAAGTGGCTTTCTAACCTTGGCACAAATGCCTGCCCCAGGGACAAGCTGCCCCACACCCTGAATGGAGGAGATAATGCCAGACTCCTAGGCAGTAAACAAAATAGCTGGCCCGCGGACGGCCACAGCGTTCAGGGCCGTGAAAGTCAAGGCAAGTGAGGCTTGATCCAGACTGAGGACTAAAGGGACAGGCAGTTAAACACACACTTGAACTTGACCTGGGCCTTCTGCTACGGAAGATATCAGTGGGACAATCGGCCATGCTTGAATGGAGTCTCAGGATTAAACTCCTGTCATGTACAGTACTTTTCCTGAATTTAAAGGTCGTGTTGCCAGTGCCGCGGCTCACTAGGCTAATCCTCCGCCTTGTGGCGCCGGCACACCGGGTTCTAGTCCCAGTCGGGGCACCGGATTCTGTCCCGGTTGCCCCTCTTCCAGGCCAGCTCTCTGCTGTGGCCAGGGAGTGCAGTGGAGGATGGCCCAGGTCCTTGGGCCCTGCACCCCATGGGAGACCAGGAGAAGCACCTGGCTCCTGCCATCGGATCAGCGCGGTGCGCCGTCCACAGCGCGCCGGCCACAGCGGCCATTGGAGGGTGAACCAACGGCAAAAGGAAGACCTTTCTCTCTGTCTCTCTCTCACTGTCCACTCTGCCTGTCGAAAAAAAAAATAATTAAAATATAAGAAAGGTCGTGTCGAGGTTCTATGAGAAGACACACCGAAGTGTGCAGGAACAACAGCTTACTCTCCGGATTCAGGAAAAATTTTGCGTTGTTCTTGCAGTTTTTCTTAGTTTATGGTTGTTTCATGTTGGTTTGCAACAATAACAGCCCTGCACTGCTTTTTTGTTAGCCGTTAAAATGAAGCCCCAAGTGCTGGCCCCGCTCCTCCTCCCTCCACTGCAGTGGCCCCACTCCTCCTCCCTCCTTCCACTGCAGTCTGGACAGGCCCACGTCCTCCCCAGTCCATCAGTTAGGTCCAGCTCCGAGCCATCTTTGTGGTCTTAGCCCTGTGTTCCTCAGAGATGCCCCTCAGTCCTGTGCCTACAAGAATCTGCTGCAGTACCCACTAAAGAGGAAAAAAATTCTTTTTTTTTTTAAAGGAAAAATTTTGAAATCCATGTCTGTGAAGGGGTCTTCGAAAGTTCATGATGGTGCATTATGGGAAAACTGGGCCGGCGCTGTGGTGCAGCAGGTAAAGCTGCCGCCTGCAGCGCCCACATCCCATGTGGGCGCCAGTTCCAGTCCCAGCTGCTCCATTTCAGATCCAGCTCCCTGCTCATTGCCTGGGAAAGCAGCAGATAATGGCCAAGTGCCTGGGCCCCTGCAGCTACGTGGGAGACTTGGATGAAGCTCCTAGCTCCTGGCTCCGGCCTGGCAGCCCTGGGAGGTTGCAGCCATTTGAGGAGTGAATAGCAGATGGAAGATTCTCTCTCTCTCTCTCTCTCTCTCTCTCTCTCTCTGCCTCTGCTTCTCCTTCTCTGTAACACTACCTCTCAAATAAATAAATCTTCATAAAATAAAGTTTAAAAGAAAGAACTATGGCGGACTTCAAAAATTTTTTGCACCAAAATACTTACCTCTCAATTTAGTGTTTCACAGACTTTATGAAACACCCTTGCACAAGTTTAAGTACTAGAAAAGGGATCCTAAGAGTCTGTCCAGCAAAATTGGGACGTGCTGCCCCACCTGTCCCCCTTCAGGCATCACTCATCAATCGCACAGCTTTCTGGGCAGGCACGAGCAATCCACCGGCACTGGTTACAGAAGGGAAGTCTCTTTCCCTTGGATTTCCCTCCCCGCGCAACCCCAGGCAGGCCTTGGAGCTGGACATCGGAGGCAGCGGGAGGCTGACCCCTACCTTGTGCCGGAGGTCCTCCAGGCTGTGCGCCGAGAAGCCTTTGCGCTCTTTCCGGTCTGCGGTGCTCACGCGGCAGGGCCGGGCCCTGGAGCCCTGCAGGCTGGGCTCTGACAGCAGCTGCTGGGTCACCACCGAGGTGCGCACGGCCACTTGCCTGGGAGCGGGTGGGCTTCAGGTGGGCTCCCTGATGCTCCCACCCCTCCCTCAGCCTGCCCCGGGTGGGCCTAGCAGAAGCCTGCTGTGATGGGCAGGTGGGTCACCTGGGGGGCAGCTGGCTCAAAGGAGATCAGATTCCGTAGGGGAGGGGGACCTGAGAGCCCCTTGTGTAGCAGGTTCTCAGTCCAGAGGGGGAGCTGATGGCAGACTCCTCCCTGCCCACTTGCCTCCTCCCTCCCTTGGGCCCCGCCCTCTCACCTACAAAGTGGGGTGACCTGGGGGACGCCCAGGTCAGTGGACTGTGAGGTGCACATTGTAGAATGGAAGGAGACAGTCTGGATTTTGGAGTCAGGCCCAAGTTCAAATCTGTTCATGTGGCAGAAGAACCCTCACTGCCCAGAGCTGCCTGGGGACTGGGATGGTGTGGGGGTCTCTGCCATGCCCACAGGGTGCAGAGTGGACAGAAAAGGGCTGGGCAGGTGTGTGTGTGGGAGCTGGGAAGAGAGGCCGCGGCCGGCAGATGCTCGAGGCTGAACTAGTTAAGACTTAGATCAGATCAAGCCTGAGCACCGAGGGCTCCGTGTGGGGGTGCAGGCAGCAGCGGAGCCTCTCACAGGGTGGGGTGGGGGCTGTTGAGGAGCAAAGCCTGGGGTCCCAGCCCAGACCCCCTGAGTCAGGATCTGCACAGGGACAAGTTCTTCGTGGCCGATAAACCCACGAAGGTTGGAGACTGCCTTCCCTTCCACTCTGGGCTCTCACCTGGAGCTGGACTTGGGGTAGAGACGGCTCAGAGACTTCACAGCGTACTCCATCCTGCTCAGCTGCACCGCGCTGCACCTGGGAGGCAGGCAGAACTGGCTCGGAAGTGTGGCAAGGCAAGGTCCCCTTCTCGTCCTTTGCCACGGTTCAGCCTGCTCCCATCCCGCCAGCATCTGCCGGCCAGGCCTCTCATCCCAGCTCTCACACACACTTGCCCGGCCCTTTTTTCTGTCCGCTCTGTGCACTGACTGTGAGCGTGGCAGGGACCCCCACTCCATCCCAGTCCCCAGGCTCAGCCCCGAGGGCGCCCCTCCTGCCCGGGCACCGCTCACTCCATGCTCCTCCGGCCCTGGCTCTGGTCTCACTGAGCAGGGATCCCAAGTCGGGGAAAGAGGCCCTGCCTGGCTGTGCCTGCCCCTGGGGACAGAGTCCGCTCGATGCTGGCAGGAGGTGAGTCACGCCACCTCCCTCTTCTGGGGACCGTTCCTTCACCTATGGTCCAGAGACCTCCCAGGCGGGCAGCCGGGTGGAGCCTTCCTTTTACTGAATTTTATCTCATTTAAGGGTAAATGGTCGCTGTGGCTTGTGGCTCCTGGCCCCCATATTGGATAGCACCTGCCACCCCTGAACCCACATGCTCTGCTCCCGTGCGCCCCAGGCCCTTTCCACCCGTGGCTCCCTCTGCCTGCGGTGCCTTGCCGGGACCCAGGGCTAACTGTGCGCAGCCGGAGGCTCCAGGTTTACTGCCTTCCACACTTGGGAAAACTCTGGGCAGCTCACAGATCAACCCCTTCACCCTGCCCTTCCTGGCCAAGGGTGCCTCAGGGTCTTTTTCAGCTCCAGCCCCAATCCATGGGGACCTGGCCGAGGGGTGCCCTCCCCACTGCAGCTGCCAGCACGGGGAGGGCACAGAGCAGGGGGCTCAAGGAGGTGGTGTGGCACCCTCCTCAGTTGGGTGAAGTCACCTGTTCTTGCTAACAACTCAGGGGCTCCCAGACCAGCCCCCAGAGACAGAAACCCAGTGCCCACATAGCTCTGCCCAGGCCTGCTTGCTTTGGCCTCTCTCCTCCCTGTCCCCAGCCAAACCTGCCAAGCCCGCCCTCACCTGCTGTCCAGGAGCAAAAAGCCAGGCTCACCACCCCCTCCAGCCTCCTGGCAGGACAGCCCTGCCCACCCACGCCTCCCTCCATTTTATTTCCAGCTCCCAGAAAGCCCCTCCCCTCGCCTGGAGCCCCAGCTGGGGAAAAGAGCAAGGAGAAGGAGCTGGCAGCTCCCCTCAGGGCCAGAAGCCAGCCTGACTCCGGACAGGAGAAGGCGGGTTCACAAGCGCTGTGAGGGCTGCCCTAGGGGATCCAGCCCCCGGGTGCAGGCGGCCGGAGATGTGGGCTGCGCCCCAGAACCCCGGACTGGCAGCTTGAGCCCCAGTTTCACTCATCTTGGTTGTGGGGTGATGACTCCTGTTTGATGAGGTTGTGCTGAGGATTCGTGATCATAAAAAAAAGGCTTTGCAACATAGACATCCAATAGCTGGATGGTTGCTGGTATTGCTGATAATACAGTTACTAAGTCGTAGCACAGACTGGCCTGGCTGAAGTGCGTGGTGGTGCAGGGTGTAGGACACTGCGCGGCAGTTCCGCTGATGCACGTGTCTCCAGAAGTGAAAGCACGCCTCTGCACAAGCGCCTGTCCGTGAATGTTCACGGCATTATTGGTGACAGCCAGGAGGCAGAAACAACCCAATGTTTGTCAGCTGATGGCCTCTGAGAATGTAGTTGATCCATTATGGATATCTGTCAATAAATATGCATCTATCAATAAGAAGGATCGACTTAGCACTGCCGCGTGGGTGAGCTTTGGAACAGCCGGCAAAGGGGGAGAAGCCTGGTAGAAGAGATGACTCTAGAACCTTGCAAGCATTTAAATCGCCAAAGCAGGGGCCTGTTGTGGTGCGGCAGGTTAAGCCACTGCCTGTGAAGCCAGCATCCCCTCTGAGTGCCAGTTCTAGTCCCCGTTGCTCTGTTCACAATCCAGCTCCCTGCTAGTGGCTCCAGTACTTGGGCTCTGGCTGCCCACACGGGAGACCCAGATGGAGTTCCCGGCTCCTGGTGACTGCCTGGCTCAGCCCCAGCTGTTGTATCCATTTGGGGAGGGAACCAGTAGGTGGAAAATCCCTCTCTCTTTCTCTAACTCTGCTTTTTGAATAAATAAAATACATCTTTAAAAAATTCCCCAAATCATAAGTCATCAGTACTAAGAGGGTGGAAATTTAATCTAATTATGATTTTTTTAAAAGATATTTTATTTATTTGAAAGGCAGAGCTACAGAGAGGCAGAGTCAGAGAGAGAGAGAGAGAGAGAGAGAGAGAGAGAGAGAGGTCTTCCATCCACTGGTTCACTCCCCAAATGGCCACAACGGTCAGAGCTGGGCTGATCTGAACCAGGAGCCAGGAGCTTCTGGTTCTCCCATGTGGGTGCAGGGCCCCAAGCACTTGGGCCATTTTCCACTGCTTTCCCAGGCCATAGCAGAGAGCTGGATCAGAAGTGGAGCAGCTGGGACTTGAACCAGCACCTATATGGGATGCTGGCGCTGCAGCCGGTGGCCTTACCTTCTACACCACAGCATCTGCCCCTCTAATTCCTGTTTCTAGAAGCTGGGCCTGATGGCAGGTCCTCGGGTCATGGGGTGTGCCCTCGGCAGGTGGTTAGGAGAGCTGAGTTGGTGCGAGCCGTTATCTGTTCCTGGCTCACCCGCTCTCCTTCCTCTGCAAAGCTCCTTTGTGGCCTTCCTCCAGCCTCAGCAGACGGCCAGAGAGGGAGGCCTCCACCTGATCGTGACTGTGAACCTGCAAAACTGTGACCCAAACACCCTCCTTCCTAGGTAGCTTGTCTCTGGTGTTCCTCACGGTGATGAGAGCCAGCGGATAGAATCACATATAGTATGATCGGATCTATTAAGGCAGAATATTGATTAGCAATGGCCCAGGGCCGGGGTGAGGGGTTGGGGGAGATAGGAAGTGTTGCTAACGGTCACAGGGTTTCTTCGGGGGAAGACAAATGTTGCCCCGAGAGGTCCAATCACAATAGCTTGGATGACGCTTGCCAACCCTGTAAATGTGGTAAAGATTAAATGTGCATCTGAGTGAGAAGGCGACTCATGACTTAATTAAGGATGTTATCTCAATAAGGGTTAAGCAAAAAAAAAAAAAAAAAGTTCAGCTTCATCTTTATTTTAGCACAAGGTTTTCACACTTTATTGCATCAAAATGACCTGAGGGGCCTGTTGGAATTCCGACTGGGGGCCAGCGTTGTGGCACAGCAGGTTAAGCCGCTGCTTGAAAACCCTGCACCCCACATCCGAGTGCTGCTTCAAGTCCCAGCTGCTCTGCTTCAGATCCAGTTTCCTGCCGATGCCCTGGGAAGACGGCAGATGATGGGCCCAGTTCTTGGGCCCCTGCCACTCATGTGGGAGACCCAGATGGAGTTCTAGTTTCCTGACTTCAGCTTGGCCCAGCCCTGACTGTTGTGTCCACTTGGGGAGTGAACCAGTGGATGGAAGGTCTCTTCTCTCTGTCTTGCCCCCTCTATGCATGTTGCTCTGACTTTCAAATAAAGAAACCTTTTTTAAAAATTCAGATTGAGTTGTTAAGATGTCACTTGGGCCAGTGCCATGGTTCAATAGGCTAATCCTCTGCTGTGGCGCCGGCTCTCCCGGTTCTAGTCCCGGTCGGGGCGCCGGATTCTGTCCCGGTTGCCCCTCTTCCAGTCCAGCTCTCTGCTGTGGCCCGGGAGTGTAGTGGAGGATGGCCCAAGTACTTGGGCCCTGCACCCACATGGAGACCAGGAGAAGCACCTGGCTCCTGCCTTCAGATCAGCCGCGGTGGCCACTGGAGGGTGAACCAACGGCAAAGGAAGACCTTTCTGTCTGTCTCTCTCACTGTCCATTCTGCCTGTAAAAAAAAAAAAAAAAAAAAAAAAAGATGTCACTTGGGACTCCCACATCCCATACTGGACGGCTTGGGTTCAAGTCCTGGCTCTGAACCCATCCCAGCTCCCTGCTAGTCACAACATGCCCTGGGAGGCAACAGACGATGGCTCAGGTGGTTGAGCCCCTGCCACCCACATGTGAGTCCCAGGGGGAGCTCCTGGCTTCATCCAGCGCCAGCCTGGCCCAGCCCCAGCTATTGTTGGCATTTAGGGAGTGAACCAGTAGATAAAAGGTCTCTCTCTCTTTGTCTCTTTCCACATAAATAAATAAAACTAAAATTTCTTGAAAATTCAGATTGCTGCCCACCCCACCCCCCCAGAGGTCCTAACTCAGAATGTCTAAGGTGCGGCCTAAGAATTCACACTTAAAAAAAAAAAAAAGATTTATTTACTTATTTGAAAGGCAGAGTTACAGAGAGGCAGAGGCATAAAGAGATCTCTCATCTGCTGGTTCACTCCCTAATTGGCCACAACGGCCAGACCTGTGCCGATCGAAGCCAGGAGCCAGGAGCTTCTTCTGGGTCTCCCGCATGGCTGCAGGGGCCCAAGGACTTGGGCCATCCTCCACTGCTCCCCCAGGCTCTCCCAGGCGCATTAGTACGGAGCTGGGTAGGAAGTGGAGCTTATACTGCCCCTTCAGTGTAAGGCGCCAGCGTTACTTGCAGTGTTGTAACAGTGCTGGCCCCTGGACAACGTGGATGAAGTGTTCACTATATACCAGCCCTCCAGGGGCTGAGAGGGCAGTGGGAAACAAGACAGCTGTGTCCCACACCCTCAAGATTGACATTTCTGTGTGCCGGGGGTCTTGGGGCATAGACCATGAACAAACGGAAAAAATTTCAAAATAGAAATGATTTCAGGCAGTCACGTTCTGGGAAGAACACAAAGCGAGGTGATATTTTATAGCCAGTGTGTATGTGAAATTAAATAGCACGGTACACACGTATGCATGAAACAGCAGGGCGAGGAAGGTCCGGGCCGGGCAGCCTCTCGCTGCATCCTGGCTGTGCAAAGCCAGGCTCTGCAGTCCCGGGGGACAAGTGAGGTAGATAAAGGAAATATCGGCGCGCAGGCGCTGGGAAGGGAGTCCTCAGGGTGCAGAGCAAGAGCTGCACAAACAGCTCCCCCCGTCAGGCAGAATGAGGGCCCAGGCAGACGGGCGACCCCTGGAGGAGGAGGTTCTGGGACAGGGCTGGGCACCTCCCCTGGGCGTCGACCCACAGCTCTCGCCTTCCCAGTGTGCATTTGTGTCCCCGGATAGGCCAGTGGGTGACTCAGCAGCAGCCTGGCTCTGATGAAATCCAAGCGCAGACAGGGACAGACAGCAGAAGCCAGAGCCAGA